ATACATACATACATACATACATACATACATACATACATACATACATAGTAAATTGCATTGAATATAATAAATAATAACTTTATTCCTGCTTTGTTGACACTATGGGGGGGGGGGCATGCAGGCATTTTAAAAGAGCACTTTTGATCGATGGTTTAACAATAACCTTTCAGAAAGCACAAGGCGTAATGTCCCAACCAGCTGGAGGCATTCAACTGCCAAATAAGGCAGAGGGAAGGACCAGCTTCTTTCAGTGGTGTTGTGCTGTTTACTGTAACATGAACTGTGGGTTAGGGCTCAGTGCTTTCAGCAGCATAAGTGTGAATTACAAGGGTGTCAAGAGATTTAAAGATGGAAACCAATAATGAATAAAAGTGTCTTTAAGCAGAAAACTGTGGTCCTTGATGTATCAGCCATCCAAGACGTGATATTTCTCTCTAATCCAAGACGCTTACCTCGAAACCGCCTTTGCACGGCTCTTTCTGGTTTGCAAGAGCCTTTTCTGCACAGTAAGAAATCATTCACCAGCCTGTAAAGTAACCTCAAACTGCTACTCTAAAATATTCACCCTAAGGTACGACAGTGTTAGATATTTGTACATGAGATAAATCATTATGAATAGGTTTTTATTAGCATTCCATTCTCTATTTATTGGTGATGATGTTAGGGGGCATCTGTTTCCACAGTGGGGGTGTAGCATCATGTTCTACCTCCAGTGTGCTCCCCCCAGGTGGCTATATTTACATACATTCAAGGCAACAGTCTTCCATTATATAAATCCCAGACACTTTATATACGTATGGCAGGAAAGCAAATACAGTGACACCGTCCAGGTTAAATGGAAGACAGTCACTTAAAAAAAAAAATCTTATGAGACTTGCTTTAAATGGAATTGTCCTTCTGTGTATTAGTGTGTCCATATCATGTTATTTATAATAACATGCCCTTAAGGATATCTACATGAGTATAACTTTTAGTTTTCTGAGAAAAAAAAATCAAGTGTACATCATGAGAAATTATCAACAGATATCAATGTCAACGTTTTAGCCCCAGACAAAGACAAAGAGACAAAGCCCACTCGTAACCCACCTCTTTCTGCCTCTTCTCAGCGGCTTCAGCCAGCTGTCTTCTCCGCGTGTCCTGTGGAACAGAAAAGTTCGGAGCTCAGACTGGGAGCGGACTTCACCATGTTTACCATGGTGGGCAGGGAGCCCTCAAGCTAAACGCCTCTTTAAAAAGTACAGCCCGCAGGCAGGTTTATCAATACAGTTTAGAAAATACCACGTATTACTTCACGTTGGAAAATAAAGAGGAGTCGTGACACACAGTGAAACAGATAAAATGTTTCAAAAATAAATAAATAAATCGAACGTACAGGGTCTGGCGTTTCAACAACGTCGTCCGCCGCTCCTCCAAGGCACGGTAAGCACATCCCCATTCTGGAAAAATAGTTCCCCGCAATAAAAAGGCAACGTACAAATGAGCTGTCAGAGTCTCTGTTTTAAACGACTAACTACCCAACAAGCTAATTTGCCAGTTTCTAACGGCTGAAGCAGCGGATAAGGCATCAGAAGCGGCGGCTCCCACTCCCACCGACTGCCGTGGGATCCTCGGGCATAATGTTACCGTGAGCTAATAACGGCTGCTGGTAGCCATTATAACTGTCACGTTCCAGATAAAAGCTACTTAAGCGGCAACTACAAGCCAAGCGTCCTCTCCAAGCAACATATTAATTATATTTTATCACACCTTTGGTTTAAAAGCCGATGCATTTGGGTAAAAAAATATGGGTTAGAAATTCAGACGCTTTTAGTCAAGTACTTTACTCGCTATGTCTGTCTTCTTTGAACGCTAAAGGCAGATTTGAAACCGCCCTTTCTCTACACTGCCGCCACCAGCTGGACTGGGCTCCGCGGAGCAGGCGCCAGGGCAGGAAACCTCTCCTTCAAACTCGTTTACAGCAAGTGAATTCTTTCTTGCTGTTTTTCATTGAACATTTGCTTATAAGGAGTTTAGACTTTGCCTTTTGGGGGATGGAAAAAGGTGACATTTTACTGTAACTGATTAGGACATTGTGGACAAGCCAAAAAGCACAGAAATATGCTATAGAACAAGAAGTAAACATTATGCCAAGTATGACAAAAAGTTATTCCCTTCACATTAAATAGTGGGAAATTTGAAATAAAAACAAAATAAATCTCTCTATCTTTTCATGTAAGATCATTCTCTGTTATAGGATGTTTGCCACTTTTTCTACATGACTAGAGTGGGCTGTCCTCAAAAGTTTTTGTATAATATGGCCTTCCCTTGTGTCAACCCCATCTTCCACCCACTAACAATATGTGTCAGGGCTATAAATGTTGCCAAATATCTCCCAATTACGGTAACTTAAAACAGGAACAATAGTCTATTTTATTAGAGCAGCCCCTCTCCATGCAAAATGTAAATACACTTACATGATTTTACCTTATTTTCAGGTACCAATCCTAAACATGGTTATGGTACGCTATTACATTTTGATTTCCACATATTTGATCTTTGTATTTAGAAACATGTTGTCTCTCCATCCCTCTCTTATTCCACAGAGTATCCAGAGAGAACCAACACACACACAGGGGGAGAAAATGTCAACTCCACACAGAAAGCCCTCCGTTCAGGGTTCAAACCTGGAACCCTCGTACTGTGAAAAACTATGTAGCCTGGTGAAATGACAGTAAGCATGAAATAAGAACAGAACAAATATCTTCATAGGCAATATTTATTAAATTCACTGGAGCATCTTTCCAGTCTATTTGATCATTCAAAGCACTCTTGCCAAACACGCCTTAACTTTCTGCTCAAACAAAATTAAAAAAATACACAATATGAATGTTATGAAATTTGCCATGACAACAGTAAACTAAAGTTTCTCCTAAGTCACCAGGTACTCCTGCTATTCCCACTGTTCATTGATTGCTGATTCTAATTTATACGTGACCATATATTGAAATATATTGCTTTTTTGCAAGGTTTGTAAACACTTTGATATACATTTTCAATACCCAAATCTGTGAATACAGATACAGTCAATCCTGTCTTTAAGGGAGCTCACTCTGCCTTGTCATGTTATTTGCTTGTAATATGAACCAAGGAAAAACCTCTATATGAGGAAGTGATGTTCTACACAGCAGCAGTTCTGTCCAATCAATACTCTACCATTAATAGTTGCTACGTTTACTGTTGTGCCCCTCTCTGTCTGTCAACATTTCAAACTCCACCTATTCATCTTTACTGCAGCACTTGGGCCATTTCACAGCTCCAAGTGCTGTACTTGGTTGCCACAGTGTTCTCCTGCTAACTTTTACTGCACAGTTTTTGCCACCGTAGAAGTTATCCTTCAGAAAGCTATCAATTGGTGGCTGATGCAATGGAAACTACTGTGTCACAGGCCGATGTCACCTCTTCAGGTAGGTTCACCATTATTTTTGCTACAGTCACACTAATTTCAAAGTTCGCTGTAGCATTAAAAAAGCCAAACAGCAGCATGCCAAATAAAGCTACAGGACACATATATATTTATGAAGTCACCACAGCACACAGTCATAGATTTAACAACATTTTTAATTATGATTCTTTTTTCATCTTAATTATCAAGTTTTCCATTTTTAGTTGTTGAAACGTGTTCAATAATTGTCATCTTAAATTATTTTAATGTGACTTATGCTGTATTAAACATCCTTTGGTGCATTTGTAACAGTTTCACTGTTTAAGTTTAAATAAAAGCATTTGTATAATACTGTCATTTCTGATAAGTGCAGGTACCTCCAGTCTGCGTAAACCATATTGTTTATCTATGAAAACTGATCCACGTCTTTAATTTATTTATGGAGTCGGAGTCTGAATGGACATTCAAGTTAGTGAAGCTTGAATTAGTAGCACACAGTGACAATTTTTATTGTCCTTTTCGCACAAATGGAGACTAGATCAATCGGTCATGGCCAGGCATTGAATACAATATATGGAGCATTTTTTAAAGGCATCATCAACTTTGCTGTAAAACTCTCGGACACAGATGTTTTAATCATGCAATAACCCCAAAGTGGTCAGCCAGAGACTAATGGAGAGGAAGGTAAGACTCTTTACGAGGGAAATTCATTTATTAGTTCCAGCCTCGTTAGATTTATTAAGCCGTATTTTGCGCAAATGATATCAATCGCTGAAGCGACAAAGGCTTGAGATTAAATGGTACTTGTGCTTAGATGGTGTTTTCATCTTGAATTAAGGATTTAGATTAATATTCAGTCATTTGTGTTAGTTGTGCTCAGTGAAAACTTTGCTCTGGAGCTCATGGTAGATACTAACAGGTGCACATGAACCAGCATCAGTCTGCATGCAATTCTTTTATTGACATTGAAAAGTTTGAATGCTGATTTAAAACGACAAACAATTAGATAACACTTACAAGCTTTTCTAAAGAATGTTGCTTTCCTCTGAATAATCTAGTTTTTTTCTTTGCACAACACTGGATGAGAGATGGGGAAGCAGATGTGTTAGGATTTCTATGGAAACACTAATGTGGCATCAAGTTGTCTGTGCTGACTCATGTTGGTTTAAGCAACTTAAGGCTCTCAACGTAAATATCATGTAATGGAAATACTTCTGTAAATACTCCCTGAATAATAGGTCCATCCACCATTTGCCCGCATGTTATCATTGATAACCAAATTGTTTTTGTTTAATTAACAGCAGTAATGTTCTCTGGTTGCATTCAGATTAAATAGCATTTACATTTGCAGCAGCTGGCGCTGGGGATTTTGTGTGTACATTTATCATAATGGAATCCTCTAAACTTATTCAAGTTTCAGTGTGTATCTGAAGAATGTGTTGCAGAGTGGTACTTTTTTATCATGTCAATGCATGACCATTAATATTTGGTACTTTTTTAGCTGGGCTAATGCCAATTTCACACGGTAAGTGTGGTCCGTCTCTTCTGTATCATTTTAAGGCTGGATTTTTTTCACCTTTAAGTCATAAATGAATGTTTAAAAAAAACAATGTGCCAGCAGGTTTTTGCTGTACCTACTCATCAATCGATCTCCCTAATGTCTAAATAGTTTTCATATCACCAGGATGTTATATTGTTGCACTTAGCCTGTGGAGCTTTAATGGATACATTTAAGTTGAGTGTTTTCTTCCGGACCAGTCATCTGGAGCAGGGGTAGCCTGGATGTAGTAGCATCCTTAAGAATGTTTCCACATGGAACAATCTTAAATTAATAAAACAGCAATGTTGTTATGTCAGTTTAGCTATTACACTGTCTGTGACTTTTAAGTCCTCTGTTGGTATCACGCCAAAGGGCATTTTAAAGTTAGGTTAAAAATGCATGAGTAAAGCAATATGAGTTGAATAGCCACAATCAGGTTCAGTCTCCACATTTGAACATACAAGCTACATTTTCCCATTTATACCATTTGCAAAGAAATCAAACCCTGAATAAAGAAGAAGAAACAGTGTGACAGCTTTTAAACCATTGAATATTATCTGTGAGTGTTTTTTTGTTACAGGATCATGTTATCAGGACAATTGCATTTTCCTCCCCCTGCTGGAGAACCAGGCGTCCAGCTCCTTTGGAGCTGACAGACAGGCTTCTTTCAATCCCACGATGAGCCACTCAGTATCCTGGAGCTCCTTGCTCGCCACCAGTTCCTTTTCTGGAGGCCAAGAAACAGAGACGGACCAACACACAAGTGAGTTTGTCAGAGTGTAGATGTTTAAAAATCTAGCACTCATTGCAGTATGGTCCAATATCATTATTATAGCATTTTTTCCAGGCCCCAGAAACTCAAAACACAGACAAAAATAATTAGTCGTTGAATTACTTTGATCATTGGAGTTCCATATAAAATATAAAATTAAATACAAAAGTTTAACTTTACCAGTACAGGCTGACATGGAGTTTCACAGGTTAGTTTCGTATCACTAAATGTAACTCAGAATTGTATCTCTAGATGCATTTAGGCTGAGGTCAACAATGCAAAGCATCCAAGTTGTACCTGGTGCTGAGCACTGACCGGTCAGTTTGCCATCTTATCCACACGATGGCAGTATTTTACTAGTGTAAAATCCTCCTTCCCTTTTCAGTCCTGACCTACATCTTGAAACTAACAGCAGAAATGGAAAAGGTACCATGTAAAATGGGACTGACCCAGCTGCGGTGGACATGCTGATTTATCTGTTCATCGAGTGTCCAGCAGAAGAAGTGTGTTTGTTAGGTAGCTGACTGACCTGTTTATTATGCTGGCATTCACAGCCCTCATACCAGGGATCAATGGACATCAGAACAATGAGGGGGCCAGTGCTGCAGTGTAGCAGATGGTATTTACATTTACCTAACCCTAACCCCACAGACAGAGATGGACATACAAAAGCAGGGCCGATCACATGGTAAACTGGCTGAACACTGAGCAGATCGATGTGAATAACTTCCTACTCTGCTGTGTGGTTGATTGTAAAATAAAACCACTCAAATGGACACATTTCTGATGGATTAATACAATAAATGTTTTGTTTCGGACTGGAATAAAAGCATTTAGTCTCATATAAAAGTAATAAAGTGTCAGCAACAGCTGTAAAAATGTTCAGGCACTAGATTTAAGAATATACATAAACCACTGAAAGAACCATACATTTTAAACTAGCCAGCTAAACATGGTTTGAAAGGCCACGTAAAGCAAACTTAATCTGTCATCTGGATTCAGATGCTTTGAATCAAACAAGGTGTGAACCAAAAGTCCTATAAACAGTTCAGATGTCAGTCATTCAAACAGCAGCCTTTTAAACTCCCTGCTCAGCTGCTGTTCTCATGACTGGTACATAATTTACTGCCAGACAAGGGATCCCCCTCCACAGTGTGTCAGCAGCTGAGATCGAAGCCCAGTAGTTATTGATTGTGGGAGTTTTTCCTCTCGAACCCAGAATGTTATTCCTCCAGTTTCAGAAATTGGATTACTGGCCTCATTGATGTCATGCCTTTTGGTCATTTATATTCCTTTTGTTGTATTGCTGTGTGGCTCCTGTTTACACATTTATGAATACCAGTTGTTGACATTTTGAATGGAAATACACTAGAAATACCCTCCCCAGCTCATATAATCGGCCTGTATTTGCACGCTGCCGTCCACTCGGCGATGATCGACGGTCAAATCAATGCTTGTCCTTGTCGGTCCATTTCGGACGCGCTTCCCCGGTAATTCCCTGCACCTTATCTGGAGTCAGTAAATTCAGGACGGAGGACGACGTGTCCATCTCCGGACCCCCTCCACCACCACCCGTCACCATGACAACAGCCGTGAATGGTGGCGGTTGGAGGAGCGGAGTGAGCGGAGGGGGGGTGGGGGTGGGGGGGCGCATGCGGAGCTGAGACAGGTGTTGCTGGGGTTTGCGCATCGCTCGTGAGATTGTCTGGCAGGATGGGAGCAGAGTTTACACCTACGCCAGCCCACCATAGTTTCCCATGTATTCTGCAATTTTGCTCTTGGAAGCACAGAATTTAATTTCTCACGCTGGAGCACAACTGAACGCCACCATGGTGCACCACTCGGGCTCCATCCAGTCCTTCAAGCAACAGAAAGGTTGGTCGGTTTTGGGAATATTTCGTGTCCCGCTAGGGTTCATTTTGAGCCGACTTTTCCTGCCTTGTTGCATAGTTTAAATGCGAGAAGGCACTCCGGGGCTATGGTTCGTGCACTTGCTGGGAGCGTGACGCAGAGTTGGAGGGTTTGCAGCCACCTTCTCCTGGGATGAAGCCTGTTTCTGAACGCTGTGCGCTTTCAATTGTGTGTCATTAGTTAAGATGGTTGGATAATTAGAGCTTATATAAAGGGGTATTGAAGTTTGTTTTCATAGATAGAAACATAAAGGGGAAACTAATCAATTTCTAAATGGTACAAGTTATTTAAACCCCATTTAGAACTAAGTGGAAAGATATTTTTCCAGAATGCATTTACTAACATTTTACCTTTCTACAACAATTGTTGGTATTTAAACGTGTAGAGGTTTGAACTGTGCTAATATTAGCGCAGTTTTTAATGACATTTACGAGGTCTAATTAAAAGTATCCTCATAGATCCATCAGTAAGATCATTCTGGTGCTGGTTATATTCAAAAGCTTACCCTCAAATCAGTGCACAAGTGGCAGTTTTAGATGAAAGTAAAGTATCCTCTTTACAACCTGTCAGGTAAATATATTTGAGGTACTAAAGGGAATTGGAAATAATGTTACAACTTGTCAAATTGAAAGGACATTTTCACACAGCAATTTATTAAAATAACAAAAGAGACACTATACTCCTGACAAAATGTTATATTGGCTTATTTTTGTTTTAGACAAAATAATTTCACACATTACATCAAACAAACGGAGCTACTGATGGGTCTTTGCAAACTGGTGCACATTTCAGCCAGTTTGTAAGTAAATCCTCAGTCTCTCCAGGGCGGCTCAGTTACATTGCCATGCTGGCATTGATTTAGACCGTAAATGGGGTTCCTAGGAGAAAATCAGTCCTACTTTAATTTGTTGCATCCCTAACTGTTTAAAAATGTTTTTCATTCTGACTCGTGCTCCTGAGCAGGGAGTATTATTGTACCTGTTTAAGGTGTCTAAAGGGTGTGTCCTCTGGTCTCTCAGGAGCTGATGACTGAGTCTGCTGATAGTGTGAGCTGTTCCCTTTCTCACAAGACATATTTTTTTCTTTAACTTTAAAACTGTATTAGATTTCTGATCGATTATATGAATTGTGCTACTTTACCAAATAATTTATCTGCGTGTTCACACTGCAGAGAAATTCCTCGCTCGCTTCCTGGCTCCAGGAAATATGCTGCTGCTTCTGATGACAGATTTATGTGAAAACTTTACTAATATGCCATAGAGAGCTCTCAGTATTTCACTGGCTGATAAGTGTATCATTAAACTGAAAGCATGCACTGAATCACGACTAAAAGCCAAAGCAAAATGAGAGTATTACAGGGCTGAGTTTGATCCAAGTTGTGCTTTAGGATTTGATTTATTTTGTGTTGATCGAATTTCCCAAAAATTTTAGATTGACTCCGCAATCACCTGGCAGACAACGGAACTAGGTTTAACAGGAAGTTCCACTTTTCTATTCAGACATCTCAATGAAAGGCCACGAGAATTTTATTATACAGTCATTTCTTCCTTCTTCAAAATCTGTTCAGATCATTTGGGCTTTTGAGTTTGACATTTTTCATATACTTCAGTGTCATCTCAAAATACATTCATCATCATTTTTAACCTCAGCTGTGTTGACACAACCTTTCAAAGTGGGAAAAAAGGAACTATTTTTGGAGTCTCTCTAAAAATCTTCGGCATAAAAGGTCTCTTTATCATCAGCATCATTTTTGCTTTTCTTGAGTGGATTTGACTACAATGACAGCATCACATCTTCAGGATATGCATTTCCGTATTACTCTTCCCCATTTATTATTTCGGATCGTATGCATTCAAGTGTGTTAAGGATCACTTGTGGAAAAAAACACACCCTATAGCTCATTTGTATAGGCTCACGTATTACTTTTTGAATGATGACAAAATGTGATTTCACTCCATTTTAAGATGAGTCTGAAATGCTGCTAGATATGAAGGAAGTTGAAAACAAAATGGGTCTGACTTTTTTTTTGCATGCACTTATTTTCATTTGCTTGATAGAAACATGAGAGGATTGCTACAATGGAAATGACTCTACATAGTCTGAACATACGCCCTAGGATTAGAGTGAACGTCACTTGTTCTTGGATTGATGATGAACTCCTATTCATCAGTATGTTTGTTAAATGCAGTGGAAACTTAATTCCTCACATTTTCTCATTCTTCCGACAGACATAGTGTCTGATTTTTGTTTTTCTCCCATGAAAACAGAAGACCCTGGTTTTTATGCATGCGCTCCTCTTTGTTGTGGATAGCTTCTGTCAGAATAGTTTTCTGCATTAAATGATTATCAAGAGGGCATTTTTGTACATTTGTAAACCTTTTCTTTGCACATCCAACGCAGGCCACCTGTCCTCTTATGCAAGGAGGCAGATGGTTTTATAGATATTGACATTAGTTTCAGGACAGATTTGTGGAAAGCACATGCAGAATATCATCTGTTCATTACAGCATGAGAAAACACTTTTTATACCAGATAGGCAACAGTTGTATGAGAAATAACTATGTTATTGAAAGAAGTTCCCTTTACAGTATTTAAGGAAATTGTGCTGACAAAAACTTTAACAACCGATGACTCAAAAGGTTTTCTTTCCTTTTTATTATGTGAGTGTATGTCACTACTTGCTTTTAGACTTTCACAGTCCTTAAATAGTCAGTGGTAGCTTTGTTGCTAGGCTGTGAGAACAGAGCAGACCACAGTTCAGTTCTGCAGTGGCCCAAACAGACTTAATAATCTCCAAAAATTTGCACATGCTGCCCACTTGTTGGAACTCTGATAGCTTGCTGTGAACTTTACAAAAGACAGTGCCATTAGTAAGCATTCCAGCAGACACTGTGTACCCATACAGGCAACAAAGGCCTTGTAGAAAGCCCTGTGACATGGTGGAACAGACAAGCAATCAGGGACATAAGAAGAGAGAGTATGATTATAAAGGCAGGGGGGATATAGAGATTGAAAGAGAATGAAGATGCTTAATCTCCTCAAATGATGCAACTCACTGGTTGTGCCAGGATTACATAATGGGGCCCTGAATCATGGGTAAAATCCGACATCTGGTCTAAGGTGTGTTCACGGTCATGTTGTCTGGCTCAGCTGCATGTGACAGACAGCAGAGAGGAGCAGCAATGCGTGGGCCTCTGGATATTGCGTATTGCATATTTTTGGACCATTGACATGGATTAAAGCAGTTTTTGTTTGTTGAGTACAGAATTACACCCTCTGCGATTCACTGTTGTATGTAACAAAACCTGGAAAGGTACTGAGGGCTTTTACGGATTTGTTGCAATAATAACTTGTTGCAACAATCTCAGAAGAGACCTAGAAGAGATTAAGGAAATAATGACTAAACCATTGCCAGTAGGACACAACAGATATGATATTTACAGGGCGCTTCTTGGTAATTATTTGAAGTTTTGTATAAAGCTAAATGAAGAAAAACACCTCAATGCAGACTTGTGTTTTCAATTCATTCTGCTGCAGGGGATGCTAAAATCAGAGATGTTCACAACTGTGTTGCTTCTGTCATAATTGCTATGTTGCAAATCCTTTGTTGAGGGTCACTTAAGGAAAAGCTGTCCTTTTCCCCCCCTTGGCTTATAGATAGCAAATCAAATAATCCTTACTTTTCTCTACAAAATCCTTTAGCTTTAGCTGAATTCAAAGTAAACCTGCAAACACAGCATTTGTGGTGCAGTTGGTATTAGATTTTGGGAGTCACAGATATGAGTTTGACTGCAAAACATTTTGCTTATTAAATTTACTGTGTTGCTGGTTTGTAAAATACACAATAAGCATGTGGTTTAATTATTTGTTTTTCTAAGATGGATTAACACTTTGCTATCCAGTATCAGTTATTAATTGATGCTGGCACAACTTGATTACTCACTATCTAACAAAAGATAGGAGTTGAATAATCAGGGAATACTAAACATCCCTCTTAACTCCTCTTGTAAACCGGGCTGTTTGTCTGCCTTGTTTGATGGAGTGCCAGGTGGAGGATGATACACAACAGCTTGCAGAATGTTTCAGCAGCAAGCACAGCTGGTTTCAACTAAATCCGGCCTCCATGCACCAGAGGAAATTAACTGGCAATACATTTTATTTTCAAGGGCAATCCCAGGCAATGAAATGTTATATTCTGAATAATGCAGCAATGTGACTTTTGAATGCAGATACATTGGTAACGACTTCATATGGCAAGCTTATGTTTATAGGACTGGTAAATTATCATGATTTGTATGATTTTCTGTGTCTACTACTTCAAACACTCTGAGGACGTAGAAGTATCTCCGACTGTATAGAAAACCATTTAGCAGAGGTCAACCAAGGTATCATTTGTAGGTCTTTTTTCCCACTAGCAGGAAGCCTCAGGGCAGGTGTAGGACCATCTAGAGAGGCTGTATCTCTTTCAGTTAGCTTGGGAATGATCCTGTGTCCCACCGGAGGAGGTGGAGGACGGGGCTGCGGAGAGACAGGTCTAGAGATCTTTGTTTTGACTGTTTCCTAATTAGGACACCTAGTTTTTTCTTCTTCTTTTTTTCCAAAATCTTTTAAGAATAGTCAGTTATCGAGCCATAGAAACGATGGAAGGGCATTTTTCGAGGGAGCATACATTTATGTATCTTTAAATCCTCAACAGTCACACAGCTATGTTTTTCAGGATGTTGAAGAATCGTTTTTTTTTTTCAAAAAGTCAATCCAGACCTTTTTATTGGTGGTCAAAGAGAAAAGGCAATATCCCATTTTGATTTCTCCACAAATCTATGACAATATTCAATTATAACATAAAGACCTGCCTGCTTAATCTTAATCAATTTCTCCTTATCATACACACACTGCACTGGCCAGTGAGGGTATGGACAAAGAGCATCAGAAATAGTAAAAGAAAATGACCAAAGCTGTAGATCACATGGGCCTCTGCATGTAATGAAGTGGGTCCCTGTGGATGGGGCTTTTGCTCTGGAGTGTTCTTGCCACTGGGGAAATGTGACTGCACTGTAAGGGGTTTAGGTGGGTGGATAGTGACAAAGTATTATCCATGTAAATACCAGAAATGCTGTTTTTAGGGTAACGTTGCACTGTGTCAGGATGAGTAATGTAAGTCTCATTAACTTACATTTTTGATAGTGTTTATCATGAGAACCAGCATGTACCTCCAAAATGCCAATGATCAGTAGGTGAGCTTTAAATGATCTAAACGACAATCTTATGTGTTTCTCACAATATTAGATGATCTCTGAAGTGAAGACGCATACAAACTTTGAAATATTATTGAGACACTGAGGTTGAAAGACCTCAAACAATTCCAGACAAGCTTTTATTCATACATTTGAAACATAAAATCCAATTGTCTGCATCATTTTGCTTAACAAATTTTGCCTTTTTTTCTTTTTAGAGAAAAGATTACTTCTAATGAAAATAATGAAGATTTTTTACATTTCAGAGGATGTCAAATAATCTGTAAGCATGGGGCTCAAACAATATGGCAGCATGTTTCCTGCCATGTGATAGTTATTTTGATTGTACCAAAGCCATCTTTTTGCAAATTTAGGAGTATAATTCTTTTCATCTGTCTTTATTTCTTTGCAGAAAATGATGAAGAGATGATTAAGTGTGTTGTGTTAAAAACTGGTTCAGATGCAGAATGTTTCTGAGTTATAAGCTGGAATTGAAAAGTGCTGCAGGCTGAACAAAGATAAATAATTGAAGGTACTGAGTGAGGAAACACAGAGGCATGATGGGAAACAACCCACTGACCTGAATTATCTCTGTGCAGCATGCTTATGGTTAAAGCCTTGATGTTTTAAGGCCATCACAGAATCAGTGCAGAAATGAGACTCAAAGGTAATAATAATGATTATGAGTTGTTTTATACAACATTTCATTGGTCTTAAAGGTTTTTCCCTTCACCGGATTCACAGTAAGGCGTAATACTGATAAAGACTATCACATTATGGCAGACAAACATGAGGCAAGCCTAACTAACTAATGTGTAGGTTTTTTAAATTTTATTTGTACATTTAACACAAACATATGCAGATTCTGCAGTGCTTTGTATCCAGTTACAATGGATTACGTTTGGAATAAACAACATCTAAAAAGACAAAATCCAAAGCTGGGATCATGACCTTTTTTTAAAATAGTCCATCTTCTTAACAGATGGGTTTCTGTTAATGAGGTTTCTGTTAGTGAGAGCACACACATGTTTATCAAAACCCTTTTATGTTACCCTTTTATGCTGAAAAACAGAGAAGATTTGGTATTTTTTCAGCACACCACCTCTCAGTGAATATCATCTCTATGGACAATCAGTGACTCGCGTACCAACTTTCGCCCCCCTCTGTTGTACACACAGGATTAACATGCTCCTCATAAACCAGTTTTAGCCAAAGCACAGATAGATTAAACACAGGATTTCACATTAGATGAACCCTTTAAAATGGACTTACACAATCCAGCATCTTCAGAAGGCAACTGCTTTGACAGGCAGAATTCAACGAGCCTGACTGCATGAGAAAATTAGGCCAAAGCTTTGGAACACGGCACTGATTATATGAGATCTATTATTATATCACTCATATCTGCTGTCTTTGACTGACAGATATATTTCATTTTTTCACATAAAACTGAATACATTTTCATGGACATAATTTACCACAGCACTAATGCTGTACAATTTCTGGGGTCTATTTTAAACTTTGAGATTCCCTTTTGGCTGAACATCTGTAGAAACATTAGCTGGTTCTGTTCTAATGTGACATCTCAGACATGTTTAGCACTGACAATGTCTGAGGGGATTATCTGGGCCATTAAAGGTAGATTTTGGATCTTATGTGCAGGAACACCATCCACAGACTATTTTCTATAGCTAAACATGATGGAAACAAACTAGACTGGAGATTCTGCAACATTAAAAAAGATTAAATCCCCCTCTCAGACCTATCCAGAGAGTCCACAGGAACACAGAGATTATTGCACTTTAGGCATCACGCTGCTTCAGCACAGGCTCACAGCTCTCACTGATTTACTCTTCACCCATAACGTGAAACATGGTGATGCAGAGAAAAACAAACAATTATGTTCACCAGACCAAAAACAAAAGCTCCAGTTTCTGAAATGTCACTGGTCATGTAATCGGTACAAAATGTTTGCTTTCAGATAAACAATGAACAACACGTCTTTCCGTAATTAATCTGAAATCGGAACAACAACAAAAATGAAACATGACACTTTAACAAAAGATTTTATCACCAAGAAGAGTTTTAAGCCAATCTAGAGAGGGTTACGGCTCTAGATTGGCCTTGGGGCCTGAAAACCTTTGGAAAACTCTAGGAACCACAAACAGACCTGCAGTCTGAGAGCAAAGTGTTGGGAAAAACATCGCAATATGAGATCTTTAAAATGTGACGGTGCTTTGTCATTGAGGGGTTCAGGTGCTCCTGCAATTCTATTCTTAACAGAGCCAATGAAGAAATAAAATCTCTCTCGCTAGCTCTCATCAGAACTCCGGCTGCAGTGTTTTGCAGCTGGAGGCTTTTCAGAGGATTTTTGGGAAATCATAAAGGTCTGAATACTACAGGTTTATACTATGTATTATACCTGAAGATAGAACAGACGGATTCATTGTTTCTTTGATGTTTTTATGTTTCTGTTTATGACTGAGTGGGGAGATTATTAACATTTAGATTACTTTCATTACAGTTTTTGTTATCATATCATTCTTTATTTTTATTTTTTAGCTAAATCCCTGCCTTTGTGTTACTGCATAAAACCTTTTTTTCCGGTCTCTTAGTGAAAGCTTCAGATCCCAGCTTTCCTCCAGTACATGTCCACGAGGCAGCACTGGAAATAAACTGTGTAATCAGTGTCTCCCCTGAGCTTTTGAACTCACGTCTTTAACTGGCTCCAGTCTCACCCCACAGCATAGGGAAATCCCACGGAGATCAATGTCACGAAAATGACTTATTGCACAGCTTGCAGCACAGGCACCGAGGGTGCATGGGAAAATTATCAATGCATGTTTCATTTGAATGTTTTAGGAAGGTCGCCGAGAGACTGGGGTTGAAAGTAATTCACGTTTCTATTCTGAGGAGGCGCCTTCATTTCTTGAATTTATATGTGTCAGGAACTGCAGCACTGAGGCTGCAGCCTCTGTAATGCACTGGAGGATGTTCCCCATTAGCAGCCTCAGAGATTGTTGTTTTAATTCAGTGCAGCAGCATCTTGGTCCTCTGTCGGCATACTGCTCTGTGGTTGCTGACATTTCTTTAAAAAATATCTAAAATTTGATTAGCAAAACAATGACCTATTATAAAAATAATCGATATATCCTTGTTAAAATTGGTGACAATATCAGAATCAGAAATACTTTGTATATGTGGATATATTCAGTGGTGCAGTATTCTGCTTTCTCACTTTATGGTATTACAGTGTGGGAGTGGATGGAGTGGAACTGCTGACAGTCCTAATGCACTCCTCTATGAAGGACAGACATAAATGCCACGGCAGCCCATAAAATGATGAAACAGATCTGAAATACACCCCCCTCGCCCCCCTTTAGTTACTGCATCAGTTCTGTTTCTTACTTTATGTGATGGAAGTAACTTTTTATGTTACAATATTGCATTTCTGTGACTTTTCACATGATATGTAGATTGAACCAGATCACAACAGTTTGTTCTAAACTAATTTTCCACTTTTTATTTTTTTTACCGCTGAAGTTCATGTTCCTGTAATTTCAAATTTAGTCCAATTTAGTGCATTTGTGATGCTTCATTAGCATGCAGAAGTTGCACAAACTGACATTACCATATTGATTTAGTTTTGTACCTCCATCAAACTGGCAGACTCAAAAAGGGGCCAAATATAAAAGAGTCAAATAATCAAAACTGTAAGTTCCAAGGTATTTTAATCAAAGTGTTAGAAGGGTTCTCCTGCTGCCAATGAGCGCTGGTGCCATGGGGCGGTGCTTTGTTTGTGTGAATGTGGGTGGTATTCATCAAAGTGACATCCACATGAGCGCTAGTACCCAACGTATGCCAGAGAATATTGAATTGTAATGACACAATCATTCATGCATCACTTTACCTGTCACTGGGCCTAATGTTGCAGCTGATTGGTGTATATTTCTATCTATCAGAAGACATATGCACAAATAAAACAAACAGAATAGAAATGTACATATACATATCGTACAGAATAAAATAACACATGAATTCACACACATTTCACACACATGTATATACAGATAAATGTATACATGGATAATGGGGTTTCATTTCAGCTTCATATTTCATAACATTGCTTCTTGGAAAGATACCTTGTAAGGTATAGATATGGTCCTTGGGGATAATAGTCTGGGCATTTGTTTAATTTCAAGGGCAAAAGATTATTTCAGAAGGTATTTTGTACCTTTTGACAGCCTTCAGATTTTGACTGATCATTTAAGCTCTTACAACGACACTTTCCTAAAAAAATACTTTGTTTTTATCCCAAAGTCTATTCCATGCTTGATAGGTTCAGCAGTGACTGTAGGTGCTTTGGCTGTCTCTGCTGGATCTGTGTATGTAATGGAATAGAAACACAGACTTTTTCACTAATGATGCAGAATTGCTCTTCCAAAGATGGAAGAAGCCACAGAAATGTCCCCATTTTCAAGGTAAAGTATTTGCACCCTTGTATGGTGGAGCTGGAGTGATGAAACGTACATGCATGTAGGTTTAAGTTTTCTTTCTGTTCCACTTTACTCAGGCATGCACACCAGCATTAGCGAGATCCTGAAGGAGAAAAGCCTGAAGCCATCTCGCCGCAGCCTGCCCTGTCTGGCCCAAAGTCAGACGCATCCAATCAACCTCAACCACTTCCTGTCTGTGCCTCTAAGCCCAGATCCCAAACCAGAGGTGGAAGGTCTGAGTCAAAGCATCAGCACCTCCTGCAGCCTCCTCCCCCCGCAAACAGGTCAGTCAACAGACAGGAGCTTTCAGACATTTTCCTAAATTCATCAGTGGTTGACATGATTTAAAGGAATGTGAGCTAAATGAACTTGCACTGGTCACTCCCCATGCTACAGTGTCTGAAGTGTGTGTGGTATTAACATCCTCTCTTCTGCGAGCCTCTGTATTGTTCATGTCTTTGATGTATTTTGTGTAACCAGACTTTTGGTCTTGACACATCAACATTTTTTGTTGAAGCTTTTCTATTCAGTACAGAAGTTAAAAGAACTATCATTCTTGCTGATGATTTTTATTTTCAAACATTTTTTCTTGTAATCTCACCGTCAGATTTAAATAGTGTGTTTTTCTTTTAGTCATTTTTTGTCTGCAATAGGACAGAGTTGGATGCCACATAGATTTTTTTTCTAATCATTGTGACAGAGCACATACATACAGTAATACTGATTAAGCAGATTGTGTTAATCCTGCAGGGCAAACATTGTGTAGAGTCACAGCTGTCTGGTGCACTCTAAGAAGCAATGAGATAATGTGAGAAATTGCTGTAGAGAGGCATGGTAGGAAAATACTCACCCCATATCTTCCAGACGATTTGGAGGCAGGTGATGGTGAGAGCTCTATTTTTGTCTTTATGAAAAGGAGCACATGAGCCATCTCACTTATTCCCAGATCTTGAAATGTCCTCTGTTTGGTTTTATGTTTTAGTATTGAATGCAAAAGCGAGAACATGGATGCAGATGAGGCATAGCTGGCAGAAAATAGATTACAGAGAAACAGGACCAATTTTGCCCCAGTTCAAGGTGGCTGTGGACAGATTAAACAGTCACACAACACGATATCTGAGAGAGGATGATTACTAAAGCCTTGATCCTACTCCAATTTTCCACTTGTGGACACTCACTCCTGAACTAATTGATCAAATGAACTGAGAACGAGTCTCTTGTGAGATCATGTTTTTCTTAAACTGATTTTTTTAGTTATGTTTAGTCATCAAAACGCTATGGTTAGGATAGGAAAATCTCTGTCTGATAAAATTAGTGTCAAGGCTTACTTTTCAAATTCCGTCTAACTTTTGTTTAATCTATTTTGAATATGTATTCTTTCATTCTTCCGTTATGCTTCTTGTGTGTCTATGTACAAATACTAAAAACTGGCATTCTGTTTGTATTTTTTTAAGTCATACATGCTGCCATTTTTAGCACACCTAACACTTTCTCTTTCCTTTTTACTTCTTTCTCCTTTTCTGTTTTAAAACCCAAAGCTAAAATCAGTTTGTTTACAGTGTAGGGAAATGCACAAATGTGCATTTATCCCTTTACTTCAGTCAGTTTCTCTAATCTTTTAGCACTTAATTCCATTAGCCATGTAATCCCACGCATGCCAAATTTACACTTGTTTTAAGAAAAAAAAGGTTAAGAAAATTGGTGAAGCAAGCAGAGCAAAGCTCCCCTTAATCTGAAATTTTAATCTTCTTGCGTTTAGTTTCTGCCCAGCATGTAGTTCACACTAAGATGATCTGATAGTGATTGAGATGCACTTATTTGAAGAAATGAGAAAACTGCCTCCTATATATTGAAGTGGACATGATTTATGCTGCACTGTGAAACCCTACCTCTTCCCTGTCATTCAATAAGTGTGTCTTTATGAGATGATGTTTTTTTACAATTGTGTCTGTATGTCTTGTTTGAAGAGGCACATCAGCTGTCACACTGGCAGTTTAATTGTCATGCATAGGAAGCAACATCGTGCCCCTTTTAAAGGAAAATGTCCCTAAAAATGCAGAGCTTCCGCTCATTGTTTTATAGGGGAGCTCCTGTTTGTCTTCATTTCTTTGGCTGATTGTCTTGGGGGTTTTTTCGGGGTTAAACTGAGAAAATCTGATAAGGATTCACAGCACTGATCTGCTGGAAGTTCCACACTGTGCAGGCTGCTTTCCAGAGAGGGAGAAAACAAGACTGTCTTTGTTTAAACATCCATGTATAGATCCTTTAAATTGCATCGAGGGGTTTGTTTCAAAGCTGACACCCATGTCCAAATAACATTAATTTAGCTCGGATCTAATTTTAGAGTTTGGCAGTCAGATTGAGGAAAGTATTGACCAGTGCAACAACAAATAAACAACAAAGCACCTAATCAAAATTGTTCCCATTGATCTTGCCTTGTCTCTGTGCAGCAGAAGATGTCAAGGATAACTACGTTGAGGAGAGTGAAGTGAGTACGTGTCAAACAAAAGCAGACCAGTCCTTTTTACTGCAAAAGCCTGTCAGCCGAGCTAAACTAGCGGCTCGTACGGATTCAATTCAGGTACCTCGTCCACACTCATCCTTAATAATCCCCACTGTTTTTACTCATTTCTTTTGATGGTTTGGTGAAACCATTTTTGGAAGTGACCACTGTTAAGCTCATTCCAAACTTCTGTGGTGAAATAATGTTTCTTCAGGGAAAGAACCCGACTTACTCATCTGGACTTTTTTTCCGAGACGGTAAAAAGAGAATCGATTACATTCTGGTGTACAAGAAGTCCAGTCCGCAGGTGGAGAAGCGGTGCACATTTGAGAAGAATTTACGAGCTGAAGGTCTCATGCTGGAGAAGGAGGTGAAAATATGTGCTTTGGTCTTGAGCTTTTCAATAAGTTTTATTTTCCAAATTATTTTCTTTAAATCATTTATTTTTCTTTTTCATCGAAAGCCCTCCTTGACGAACAATGACATCATGTTTGTGAAGGTTCACGCACCCTGGGACACGCTATGCAAATATGCAGAGCAGATGAACATTCGAATGCCTTTCAGGTATCTACGGTTGGAGAGCAGAAAAGTTTTACAGTGGTTGGTGACTTCCCCCTCTTTCTAACATCTTTTTTAATTTGTTTCTTCTTTTGAAGAAAAAAATGCTACTTCACAGAAAGGAAGAGCAAATCCCTGGGCAGGTAAGCAGATTTGAAATTTCCGCCTATTTGTCTTTTTGTCAAAACCGGAAGCTTCTGTGTGTTTCTATCAACACCATTTAGCAGTAGTGTAAGATTATAATTGTATTTTAATTATTTAGTTGTCTGTCAGCAGCCTAACACACATTATTGTTCTGTCTTACACACACAGTTCAGAAACATTGCAATGTACCACTTATTACTGGTGGGCTTTTGAACTACGCATGGCTTTTTGTATGTTAAAAAAAAAAAAATGTTAATAAAATTTTCAGATGTTTTAGGTAAATAGGACATCGGGCAGAAGAGCACCTATTTTTAGTTGTAATAACATACTTATGAGAAACATTGCATGAGCTTATATGCATACTATTTTTAGACAGATACAGTTATGCTTTGATGTGATGTTCAAAAGTTCAGACTCCCTGTGGAGCCTCGTATTTCCATCTATTCGTCCCTGCTGGAATGCAGACTGATATAGTCCACCAGCCACCCACTTAAAAAAGTGTACAGCATATACCTTTTGTTTCGAGGTCTAAGAGATCTCAGGGAAAAGTTCAACTCTGTTACCCAGAGGTTGAATTGTGGTGTAACTTAGTTGTTTTCCATGGAATTTGAGGAGCCAGAACATTTATAAACTTCTTCAGAGTTGTCAGGCAGGAAGTGGTTCAGCATAGGGTTAAGTAACAATTTCTCAATAAATTATAATATTGACATCACTGTCCCATTTCTGTTTACATTTACCATGGCCAACTTTATTAATTACTAACTCTTCATGAGCATAAATTGGTCCAAAAAGTTTTAGAGTAAGCATCCCAAGAGCAGGTCCTAACAAGATACCAAGGAATCCGTTTCATGAGCGGCTCCACTCTGACAGGGTGTGTTATTTGGTGTTATTTTAGAACTCTGCTGATTCAAACATTATTTTATGCTGATTGTTTTTCTTTGAGGATTTGCAGCAAGGGCTTCAAAACCAAACTTTATAATTATCTTTGCAGTATGATTCAGTCTTTTAAGGGGAAACAACTCACATACTATTTGACCTGCAGCAAGGCAGAGTGAATCTGTGGACTCTATGAGTCCCGTTAAACTTTGAATTGGCTGCAGCCACTGAAGTGTGGCAGGTCATGAAGAACAGCTTTCATCCATTAAAGTGAGTGTGACTCATGCAGCAGTCATCCTTTGGTTTAGGGCCTGTCTATACGGACATTAGCATAGACGGGCCTGACATGTTAACTCCAGCACTAGTATTTATCTTAGATCTTATTTTAATTCAGTTGACATGATAACACCAAAAGATGCGTTACATACCATGCACATTTAGATGGTTTTGCTTTTAAGATCTTGAGACTGATTGTTGTTTTTTCTCAGAGAAGTTAATACGTTTACATGTTTGTCTGTGTACAACAGATCCATGCACAGGTTTTGACAGCTTGTTGCTTTGATTCCATGCAGTTGGTGTCCTTTGTAACAACATTTATCGAATGCTTCTAGGCAACAGAATGTGTTCTCTCAGAACTTCCATCTCTATTCATTCAGTCCATATCAAAGCAAACACAGTTTGAATTAGTGTGTGTGTGAGACAGTCGATCAAATGTTTTTTCCCCCTTGAACAGTTTAACAAGCAGTGGGCTTATTGCGGAATCATTTTGTTCAAAGATTTATGGTCCCCCATGAATGCATTCATTTGAGAATAATCTTCAAATCAAGGACATCTTTTGAATACAGCCTTAGTAACGATTAGTTCATTAATAATTTGCCCCTGGGAGCTTCACAATCCCTACATTATGGGAAACTCTCTACTGTTAGACTCTTAAACTTTCTCTCTTAAAAGGTCATCTCTTAGGGATTAAAATGAAATATCTCAACAGTTAGCAGATGGTATTGTATTTACACTTTTCTTGACTCCTGCAAATGAATCATTGTAAGTACTTCCATTTTCATCCAGCTCTCCCTTTTATGAGGTTGTGTTGGAGCAGTTTTTTCTTGTGCTGTTCTTGCTCCATATGAGCTATTTACTCACTTTTCAATAACAGAAACTGATCGGAACTGATATCAATTCTATATTGAAAAACATAGATTATCCTGTGGTCTTTCCTTCAGCAGGATCTCACATACTCATACCTTCATTTAGCATCGTAAGGTCTAAAGTTTCAGTCCTAGTATTTTTTTAAAGGGAGCTAGAATTTCTGAGTAATGACTCAGTTGTAAACAGAAAATAACATATATAAATGTATACATATGAAATTGGCACTCTGAACTAAGAACTGATATGGTGACCATTGCAAGCATTTTGCCATTTTCACATCCACATGCGATTGCTACAACTGTGTTTACCTTAAACTAACAGCAGTCATGCGATTTAGCACAGCAGCAGCCTAGAATTGAATGTAAAACTGAATCGGATTCCTTCTCTTTAATCACAACAGCATGATTCCAGAAATGTCTGCACATGTACATGTGGGTTTAAGAATTTTAGACATTGCTTAGTCAAATGGAAGGAAATAAGCTTTTTGGTAATCTGCAGCAGTAATCCTGATTTTTTTTTTTTTTGTGCTCCTGTGCAGCAGGTTCCATTTGAGATTTCGACAGATAAAGAGCTGGTTTCCCAGAAATCCTATGAAGCTGGACAAAGAGGCCTTGCCTGACCTGGAGGAAACTGACTGCTACACTGCCCCTTTTAGCAGGGCACGCATGCATCAGTAAGAATAATGAATACATGCTTTTGCGCACGATGACAGAATGCTTAACTGGTCACAATATGTAACGGCAGCTCAAGAGATAGTGATGAATAGATGTCCTATTATGTATTCTTACTTTCTCTTTTTATCCATGTTATCATCATTTTCTAATCATTCTTAACTTAAAAAGTAGAAGAAATCCACATTATACCAATTTGCATATTTAATCCTTAGTGAGACAAGTTGATTATAGATAGGACCTGATGTACACTAGCATGTTGAATGCTTTTGCCCTATTTCTTTATTCTTTACATTTAGAAAGCCCCCCTACAATGCTAGCTTCCTCCGATCTCATTTGTCTGGAAGAAGTCAAAAGTTTACTTTTTTCTGTCATTTTCTTGGAATGAGAACCTAATGATGCAGGAATGAACACACACCATACTTTGTGAACAGTGTTTTAATGAACTCCCCCTCAGTAGTGGCTCATGAGAACCATGACAGGATGACACTGATGTAGCGCCGCACAATGACTGAATGACTGTGCTGTTGTTTCCTCTCAGTTTTACTATTAACAACAGAGGGACCTTCTTCTCAAACTCCACCAGAAGTAGAGTTGTCCATCATGTTCTTCAGCGCACCAAGTACGAAGATGGAAAATTAAAGATGGGTAAGGTGTGCTTGTCCCTCCCCTGTCTTATTTCTCACATACAAAACTATATTCCCAACAGTAATTTCAGAAGTTTCTGTCTGTGCATCAGTGTATAGAATATATTCCTATAATAGTGAATTTATGTCTCTTAAAGTTTCATTTCATTACATTTTAATTTGACTTTTGTAGCTGGTAGAGATATGAATGGAGAAATCTGTTTTTTCTTTATGTACAGTATGAGCAACTACTCAGCTGTTGTTATTATCCAGTTTGTGGGTTATCTATTCACATCTTGTTGCTCATATTTTTAACTTTTTTAGTTGTTTTATCTTTAACTTAATATTAACAGTGTAACCAAACCATCCCTTCCCTCCCACCCTCACTATCCTGCCTCAGTGCTGGTTTATGGATGCAAGTTTGGCATCTAAGTGTTGGAATCGATTTCAAATTAATATTTGGACACTGTCAACCACTTTATTTTCCAACAAATATATTAGCTTGGCCACGGGATTGGACAGTCCATTTTGGCCCCACCCCGCCTGGCTCTTTCGCTCAGAACCTTTCCAGCTGCAGTGATTTTTTTGTGACTGCGGCAAGATTTTGCAACCTACAGCAGTAATAGAATGGATGTAAAGTTATTTAGGTCTATCAAAAAAAAAAGTTGTTTTCATGCGCTCTTCGCTTTTTAAAACCCTGACTCAAATGTTGGTTGTCAGTTCAAGAGTGCAGTGACATTGCAATGGATGTGGAAAATTGGATTTCAGTTGGTCTCTTGGAAGGCTCCTGTTTCTATTAATGACCAGTTCTGAATTTTTAATGCGCTGTCCTAATGTTTTCCCCTTTCACGTTGTCTGTATTCTACTGCAGGTATCAACCGGCTACTGGGTAACAACACGTACGAGGCTGCATTTCCTCCACATGAGGTGAGCTGAATTGAAAAGCTGAGTGGATGCAAATTAGTTAGAAGAATACGATTTTGTTTATTTCACTGTCTTACCAAGATCCTTTTAAATGGATTAATGTCCAAATAACGAGAAGGTACACCAAAAAACAAAGGACCAGGAACAAATGAGAAGCATTACCTACTGAATGATCATACTGTACTATTCGGTGTTGGATGTAGGCTCCCCAACTGTTTTGTCTCTTCAGGGGGGTTATAAGAGCAGACACTCTATTAAGACGCATGGTGCCCAGAACCACAGACATCTCCTGTATGAGCGCTGGGCCCGGTGGGGGATTTGGTATAAATACCAGCCTCTGGACCTCATCAGGTAATCAGCTCTGATACAGGCTACACAGTTTCATCAGGTGTTTTTGTACACGTGTTTTACTACAGTCCCGGTCTTCTCTTTAAGCATGTTCTATAAAGGCTGAGTTCTTTAAATGTAACACAAACTGGCACAGTTGTTCGTGATCTAATTTATCTACACTGTTTAAGAGCCATCTGTGTATTATTTCTGAACTTTGTGATCTATTTTAGCTGAGGCTTAACCCACTTCTGTGAGCAACTGTCTGGATGTCTTAACGTTTTTGCACCATCTGTTAGGTTAGCATCATAGGAGTCTAAAAGAAGAGTTTGAAGGTGTTGGAAGATAACAGTGCTCCCTTTGTCGTGAAGAGGTTATCTAATATCAAACGTGTGTGTTTACTTTAGGAAAATACTGAGTTGCATTTTCTAGCCTGTTTAATTTTCATTTGAGAATTTTTAAATTTAAACACATTAAACAAGGATGAGATGATGTGCAAGTCATCTCAGGTTGATTTTACACTGATTTTGTTTTGTTTGTTTTTTGTAACTCAAGCTCAACGGATAAAGAACCTGACATGGGAGTCACTCAGAAACCCTTTCAATTTTCATTTTATGGTCATGTTTTATTAAGAACATAAGATATTAGTTCAAATTCAATCACATGGCTGTGTGTGCACTCATGTAGTCCTTTTTCAGACCTCAATAAAGTAAAATAAAACTTTTATTATATTATTAACATTATATTAATACATGTTTTTGTATCCCCATGGTGACAACAATATTCTCTGTTTATATGTTATGTAGCAAACCAGTGAGCACATGTGTTTTTAGACAACTTGGGATTCACTTAAAAATGATTGGAAACAATCTGCTGAGCTATCAACTGCTCTGCTGCCAATGAATTAGATGGCCATATATGAATTCTGATGTTCTGGAAAATTGCCTATGTCGTGTTTTTAGAGGGCAATTCTGTCATGTGGTGCATGTGCTCAGTAAACATAGAGTGATAACAGGATTGGTTATCGCTCTTGTTTACCAGCCATGTCCATCTCACCAAAAAAAGCATATATGTAGAATGTGTGGATTCAAAATGCTTTAATCTGCTCTATGTGGGTGTTTTACGCAAGAGTACCATGGCAGCGGTGGTTTGGAGGGAGAAACACTTAAAGCTGTCTTTCCCATTGTTATGATCTTTTGATGCAGCAGCTTCTCTATCAACACTACTCTGAGAGCATACAGTTTAATTAACTGTCAGCACAGATTACTGCTGTAGTTTCACCGCTCTCTCTTTGTGTTGCACCCAGGCGCTACTTTGGTGAGAAAATTGGTCTTTATTTTGCATGGCTGGGCTGGTACACTGGCATGTTAATCCCTGCCGCCCTGGTCGGCGTCTTTGTCTTCCTTTATGGACTCTTCACCATGGACTCGAGCCAAGTCAGGTGGGTTCCCACTAGTACATCATATCAGACAATGTGTATACTACCATGTATCCTGAGTGTGCAATGTGCCCTCTAGAAATATTTACTATTCTTTTTCGTTATCAATTTTTCCAATTTTGTCACCTCATCAGTAAAGAGATTTGTGAAGCCAACGTCACCATCATGTGTCCTATGTGTGAGGAAACCTGTGAGCCTTGGACACTGAGTGATAGTTGTGTTTACGCGAAGGTCAGTGCTGTTTTCAGTCTCATTAATCTGTCAACATTTCACTCTCTACCTTGATAGAAACTCAGCAGAAACATTGTTTTTTTTAATGACCCTATAAGCTCAGAGATGTATGTTGTGATCATGGAAAGGAGCACACTTTAAACCTTTTTATGAAGGTACAAGATGAATAAATCATATTTGAAAATCATTTAAGTTTTAGAAATACACTCCGTAATACAGTCATATACTCTGCGGTAAGTGAGCTTTGCCATTAGCCAGATGTGTCAGTAATAGTCAGAAGTAGGCTAAGTGTTTTTACTGTTTCCAGTATTTATATGAAGATAAACTAATCTGCTTATAAAAATAGCTTTCTTACTTCAGCAGTAACAATCTGCTTATGCAACTCTTGGAAAACAAATGTGTGATAAAATGTTAACTGAGCTCAGAGGTAATAAACTCTGTGTTAAACTTCATTTTGTTGCTAAACGGCACCATGTTTTTATTTAAACGAAAGCTGCTGAAATTGTGTATCAAATTCCTCCTTGTTTGCTCACATTTTTAGGTGACCCATCTTTTTGACAATGGCGGCACTGTGTTCTTTGCCATCTTCATGGCCATTTGGGGTAGGTTTTATTAATGTTTGCTGTTTTTCTTCCAATTGGTCCTTTCTTTGACAAACACACGTCTGGTACTCAAATCTTTTTTACAGTGGAGTCAGCACTTGTTCTTCCACTCTCCTCCAAACATATTACGTTTACTGTTGGGAAATTCAGCAAAGCAAACACTCTGTGGTGCAAATACAAGAAAGCCTTATTCTGAAATGGCTTTTGTCAGTCGATAAATCATGGTCAGATATGTCTGACTGAACCTCTGCATTTGTACATCCACTGATATAATTAGTTGGATAATTAACCATCTCTGCAGAGAGAGGTTATCATTTGCCTGACAGGGCTGTAGAACTGCAGCATGATATTGGTATATTATGTGTATTTCCCCACAGCTGTAATATCTTTGTAATGTGGAGTGGGAGTGTTATAGGGCTGCAAGTCAGCCAAATCCATTTATCTGCCAGCACGGTAAATAATCACCTGTGCCAGAGGGAACACTTTGTACACGTTGTTCTGCACTTGGACTTAACGAAGCTCAGAAGGTTCCTGCTCTGAATTCTGCGTTAACGCTTTTGGCAATGTGGGCCAAAGTAGCCGTACTGCACCACTGAGTGAGTGCACTTCAGGTCTGCTGTGTGAGTGCATTTGCGAGAAACACATGAAAAAATCGGCCCACCCAAGGGACCAAATGTAGGCATCTGAAAAGGCCGCTTTTCTGTCTCTTTAAACAAAAGTGGGTCAAGCTATATTAAACTTCAACATTTTAGTGTTACAACAGTCAAAGTTGTTCTCACACAGGAGTTCAGTCGTACTTCTCTTTAAGCTGCTGTGCCTTTTCGTTTGATATAGAAGTTAAATATGTTATTTCAAGACTCTGAGTAATGATACTGATATAATTTCTCACATAATTTGATAACCTTCATATTCTTCTTCATGTACTTGACAGTTGTCACTGTATCAGTGATATAATGTTATTTTGGGCAGTCTATCTTACCATTTCTTTATCCCTAACCGTTAAGATGTTTTTTAAACATATATCAAACTATATGGACTCAGAGTGTTTTTTAACCAGCTTTTCGAAAAACATTTTCCTGGTGTTACATATCTGTGTCAGACTAGTGCACATGAAAATTCTTTACAGATGATTTTCACATCAGAATTTAAGTGCATCTCAGCTAAAGTCTGCCCATAGGAGTCTTCCATGTAGAAATTTCACTACAACAAAAAAACCACACAATATATCGGGTTGTAAGCTGTGTGAGCAAAGCCTCTTTGGCTATTGCTTCTTCTCTTGAACTTTATTGCAAAGGCAAAGCGGCATTTGGGCTGATGGCTGTAATCAGTCTCTATAATGGGCTGTTGAGCCTGTGTTTCACTCAGGCCTCATCATGTCCTCCTCTGTGAATTGCACTATGCATTAGGGCATGCTGTGTGATACATCTCATAGGAGATCGATAACATGATGTTTTCCTGACAATGCCTCACAGCCACAGTATTCCTGGAGTTCTGGAAAAGGAGACGGGCAGAACTGACTTATGACTGGGATCTCATTGACTGGGAAGAGGAGGAGGTGTGTGACTTTCAGCAGTATTAGCAGAAAGATCAGATATCACTTTGTTTACCTCAACATTTTTTATTTATATTAATAATGTTCCTCAGCTTCAGTTCTTTGGTTATTTGTTGCGCATTAGGAGGAGCTCAGACCACAGTTTGAAGCCAAATACTCCATTAAAGAGAGAGTTAACCCAATCTCTGGCAAGCCTGAACCTTTCCAGCCCTTCTCAGACAAACTCAGTCGGCTCATGGTGTCTGTGTCTGGAATATTCTTCATGGTAAGCCCTTTGATCACAGTATAATCTGGCCCTTTTGGGAATATCTACTCAGAGTCCTTATCCCAGCAGTATGACATGTTAGCTGTAGTGTAACATTTCCCCCTGCTGGACATGACTTGTATTTCAAGAAAATGTCTATTTTGGCCTTACTGAGGGCTTCATATTGGTTTTACTTAATGTCTGAAATTTTTTGGGTCTGTGATGCAATTGGTTGTGGTTGCTGGTTCAATTCCATCTTAATCAGTCCACAGTATTGTTGAGCAAGATCATTGTTTTTGCTTTTTTCCCCAGCTATACAATTTTTCACAACTTCTTCCTTCTCTTCTTAGATTTCCCTCGTTCTGACAGCAGTGTTTGCCGTTGTGGTTTTCCGTCTTATTGCCATGGAAAAATTTGCTTCCTTCAACTGGCACTTTGTGAAGAAGAACTGGCAATTTGCCACGTCTGGCACTGGTGTTTGCATCAACTTTATGATCATCATGTCTCTCAATGTGGTGAGTGTCTGGATAAACATCATCTGGCAAATATGCCTTTTTTGTCCAACAAATGATCTGAAAATTCTTTGTTTAAAAGTTTATTAAAGGTGCTATAACCAGAGAGCTTGTTTCTATTATTTTTATCCTGAGATTCCTCTCTTTCATGATCGCCACCTTTTTCAATCCTATTCTTGTTCAGTGTGATAATTTCTATCATTTTTTCAGGTTTATGAGAAAGTGGCTTATCTTCTCACTAATTTAGGTGAGTGTTATGAGCCTTTGTCTAAATGATCTCTTTATTGGCAGATGATTGTGGTGTATTTACTCTCTGCCCCTCATCTACCCCACTTTCCCTCTCCTCTCCTATAGAGCACCCACGCACAGAGTCTGAGTGGGAGAACAGCTTTGCTCTGAAGATGTTCCTTTTCCAGTTTGTGAATCTGAACAGCTCAACGTTTTATATCGCTTTCTTTCTTGGAAGGTAGACCCGCTGACATAAACGTTTCCGTTCTTGTTTATAGTAAATTTGAGGAAGAATTGTGCAAGGATGTTTCGTGTCATAACATCTGAAGACTTCTCCCCTTTCTCTACTCACTGTATAGTTTAGAAAACATACTTCACTACTATCATGATAATTATCCTCCCTGGAAAAGTGATAAAACCATCAGACATAATTAGCACCATTAAGCCTCTTTCTTCTGTTATTTTACTGATTGAATTCAGAGGTAATGATGCCCATCTCAATTTATCTCAGGTTTGCTGGCAGGCCTGGAAAATACAATAAACTCTTTGATCGATGGAGACTGGAGGAGGTGAGTGCAGTTAGACCCCAGAATAAGTCGGTGATTATTTCAGCAATGGCTGACCTGATTATTACCCTCTGTTATAGGATATTTTTAGAATGTCCATGTGATTAATTGTTGTAATGGTCCTCCTGTAAAAGTGAATAAGATCAGCTGTGTCCCAGAGTTTGCTCATAACTTTGCATCAGACATGAAATGTTGATGTTGCCATTGTTTATTACTGAAATGCATTTGTTGCAGTGTCACCCAAGTGGCTGTTTGATTGATCTGTGCCTGCAAATGGGAGTCATAATGTTCTTCAAACAAATCTGGAATAATTTCATGGAGCTTGGTTATCCGTAAGGAATACCTAATTTACTTATCTTTATGAAAAAGCCTTGATTCTTATTGGGATATTTTAACTGATCGTTCTGTGTAATCTTTTATGCCTTTTAAGCCTATCAAAAGTACTTTTCTTCTATCTGGCTCCAATAGTCTTTGGAGCAGTGTAAGTAATAACATGTCTGCTTCCTGCACTCTCAGCTTGCTGCAGAACTGGTGGTCTCGTAGGAAAATGAAGAAAGGAGGAGGTGGGGGGCAGTATGTGGAGAATAAAAACCAGCTTCCGCAGTGGGATAAAGACTGGAATCTTCAGCCGATGAACGCCCATGGACTGGTGGATGAATATCTTGAAATGGGTAAAACATTACCTATGCTTTGTCATGTTGAAAGAACTGACCGATGACGTCCACAGAATATTTGAATCCATAATACGGTTTGCACTTCGCAGTTCTGCAGTTTGGCTTCACCACCATCTTTGTAGCAGCGTTCCCACTGGCTCCTCTCCTTGCCCTGCTCAACAACATCATTGAGATTCGCCTTGATGCCTACAAATTTGTCACTCAGTGGAGGAGACCCATGCCAGCCCGAGCAACTGATATAGGTTTGTGTGCTGCTCCGTTATTTCCTATTTTTCCATCAGAGATCTTTTCCTATCCTAATAGTTCTCTATCAAGATGACCCCCCTCATTCTAAAGAATAAAAAAAGGAGGGGAAGTTACATAAAAAAATAGGGATAGCTCATGACTTTTTGTCATATGTAAGAAAATTAAGACATTCTTCATGATGTTTTACTGACACTGATACTGAGGTTATAGTTGGGATGGGGTTAAGATGAAAGGCGCTTATTAGAGAAATGAGAACAGTCTTTTGTTATTTTGGTAAACAGTGACGGCCTATCCTATGGAGATGAATGTGTCTCCATTTCCTGCCCCTCTGTGCTGCCATATGCTGCTCTCCCATCCCACCGGCCCACTTCTCTGTATGAGAACAAACACTATTCTTCTACTGCCCTATAAATAAAGGCATAATACTTCATGTGGAACATTCTCCTGTAAACAAAAAACACCTTGAAACATTTTGAAAGCCCTCAGCTGTAAAAACAACATAATCTGTCATTCACAGAGAATCAAACAGTACAGTTTCTTTTAATTAAGTTATGGACCATGCTCAAAAGTATTGTTTGTCAGACAAAAAGACACAGAGATGTCCTCTCTGTTGTCAATATTTGAAATCAAGCTGATAATCAAAGCTTCTGAAAAGGATAATATTTTTCTCTATCATTTAAATCCTTCAGGCAGACACTGATTATTGTTTTACTAGTTAACGGGTTGATGAGCTCTCTCAGTACAATTCTACACTGATATGCAGAATACTCACATTCCTCTCTGGCTTTATTTAGAAGGAAGAAGTGTTGAGGATGGTTTCTTCCTCTGTTTTGTGTGACAGGTATCTGGCATGGGATTCTCGAGGGAATCGGAGTACTGGCAGTCATCACCAACGCCTTTGTCATCGCCATAACCTCGGACTACATCCCCCGCTTTGTTTACGCTTTCAAATATGGGCCCTGTGTGAACAAGGGACACCACCATGAGGATGAGTAAGCATAGAAAATAGAATGGATGGCCAGAGAGGGCTGCTTGTGTTTGGTGCGATAGCCTTTCCTGTCTCCCTCAGGTGTCTGCAAGGATACGTCAACAGCAGCCTGTCGGTGTTTGACATGGGGGAGGTAAAGAATAGCAGCCAGTCCAGGTACTGCAGATACAGAGACTACAGGGCGCCTCCCTGGAGCTCAGTTCCCTACGAATTCACTCTGCAGTTCTGGCATGTCTTGGCTGCCAGGCTGGCTTTCATCATCGTCTTTGAGGTCTGTTGCTGCACTTTTCTATTGTTTATGTTTACAAGCAAGGTCCCTACAGCTAAATCCCCTAATAATGTGCCTCTTGAAATCACCTTTGGTATTTTCTGGTATTTTTGATATGCTGCCAATAAAACAAAAGCCTGAGCCCTCTCCTTTCCCATCCTAAGCCCTCTGAGTAGAAAGTTCAAATTGCATTTCCATTTTTGTTCATGTTCAGTTGTTTAGCATATCTCTTGGATCATCTCCTCAGATTTACTGATGTTAATGTTTATTTCAGCACCTGGTGTTTGGGATCAAGTCCTTCATAGCATACCTAATTCCGGACATGCCAAAAGATCTCTGTGATCGCATGAGGAGGGAAAAGTACCTGATGCAGGAGATGATGTATGAAGCAGAACTGGAGCATCTTCAGAAGGAGAGAAAGAAGAATGGAAAACGTTATCACCATGAGTGGCCTTAGTTTTACCTCCTGTGTTTCCACTTCACACCACCCAGCTGACAGTTAAAAACCTCCTTTGCTTATCTATGTATTTCAGCTTTGAGAGTCTGGCTTTGCAGGGCTGATTCTCTACACCAAAGACAACCTCAAAGAAATCTTTTCCCAAACCTGTCTGGCTTCAGCCCAAGCCCTGACCCAGAGCTGTCTCTGACCATCTGCTCCTCGTCCTGCAGTCTGCCCCACCCACCCTAATCTCTCACCTGGCCCCATCCAGCAGGTTGCCCTTAGGTTGTTTTGTCATGGCTACATTGGGCAAACCTTTGCAATTGTGATGTTTACTATGCAGATCAAGGGCTGCAGATCACCACTGTTCTCTCTTGGCACCCGTCCTGCAGTCTCTGTAGTGGCAGCTAGCACTTTGCTTTGACTCTGCAGCGTGGTGCAGCTCGCAGCATGGCCGCGTCCTGCCCACCAGTATCAACAGAACCGCCTCTTTGTGACAGAGCTATAGTGGCACTTATCCTTTTCTCGTCGCACAGTGATTCTGGTGATGTTGCTGCCAAATATGACACTGTTCTTGCAAAGTAACTGTATATTACTGTTGGAGCATGCTGATCGGTGTTTGCAGACTCTTCATTGACTGCAACGAACATCTTAGATAACAGAAAACACCTACTTTAAGGATGTTCACATCCATTCAGTGCATTTGTCAAAGACCTCTCTCTGAAAACTATAAAGTGCATGGTAGTGCTCTTTGTCTTTTCTTTTTTTTTTACCTTGTACCTTTTGACAGACAATGTCCCTGTCTTAATGCCTGGTTCACATGTGGATGTGTGTTTTCGGTGTGAGCAGTGTGTTAATCTCTGTGCTACTGCTGACCTTGGCCGTCTTGAATCGAAGAAATGTGAACTTAGTGCAATATGATCGTGCCTACAGTGTAATGATGCATACCACAGTCACCGTCATGATGCGTGCTCTGTGTGGAGCAGCACATGCTCTTTTTCGAATGCAAGAAATGCTCTTATTTTGGTTATGCTCTCATGTGATCTGCCATCAACTCCCTGAACTCTCCAGAAAGGGTTTGTTTTGGAGGCGGGTCACGCCACAGTACTGATTGGACTCTCAGCATGTACGGCGCTGAATACGCTGTAACGCGACCCCTATCACTAACAATGTATACATCGCAGGATCCACAAATCTGCTCTTCCGTTCTGCTGCGTGCAGTCTGTTTTTCATTTGTTGTTGGAAGCTCCAAAGTGTGGTTGAAACTTGGATAACTTGGAAATACCTGTGGCTTGGACATTAACTGTGCTAAGACTGTCATCCACTGTTCCTCACTCACTGCACATGAAAAATATTCTCCTTTTATTTAAACCCAATCAGACACAGCTCTGGCTTTTTACTCAAACGGGAGCTTGATCGTTTTTGTCAGATGCAGCAGAGCATTCTGATCTTGCTTTTGTTGTGGCCATTTGTGATATCATGGAATGGAACATCATGATTGATACCAGGGAACTCAGGAAAAAGGCATCATGACTGGCATTCGCCCTGTGAGACTGAATCAAGATCAGCATCTTTTCCCTCATCACTTACCCTAACATGGAGAATTGTGGAGCATGGGGAGAAAACAGTACTGATGAGCAATGATTTGAATTGAGAAGTCTGATTAACTGTTGATATCCTAAAACAAGATTATTATCCAAGATTATGCAGACTAACTGTTAAGGTACCACCAACATAACACCTGAAGGTAAAGAATGCAACAACCCTGAATGCATTGCCCAGTATTTTACTTGACTTGGATTAGTGTTTTCCTGCTTTTGTATATCTTTTTTTTTTTACATATCTAATGTTTATAAAATTATTTTACACTGTTGCTATACATTCTTCTCTCTCACCTTTAGATGAGATAACATTCACATTTCTCAGGTGTCCTCTGAATGTTTGCAATGATCAACTTTTTATCGTATTTTCTAAGATGTAATCAAAGGTGTCCTGCTTTTTTAGACACATATTTTTGCACTGCAATGTTTTTGCATGACTATTATGCACACCCAGTAAAAAGCACGTTGGACTTTATTATTTATTGAGTTATTTCCATTATAGCACGTATTGTACTAGAGCATCCCCGAAATCAGGCTAAACACTCATACTGTGCACTCCATCCTGGAAACCTGCTGTAAGATGCAAAAACTAGTGGCTCCGTTTAGGTCACATTCAGTCCAATGACTCCTTGTTCCATTCACAGAGAAAGACTTCCTTTCAGATACTATTCCATAGGTTTTTGGACCATGTTCCCTGCTATGTGAAAACGTAAGATCTATGCATGTTGTTATCCTTGAGTGCTAGTTATTTTTGAACAGATACAGATGTAAACGTTCTTGTACATTTGTAGTGTAAAGTATGCATGTCTTAACTCCTGCTTTGAGCAGAGCTAACTTCTGTAATGTAGTTAAGAGGTTCTTAAACATATCAACTCTTTTTTTTTTGTGTTGATCAAGACATATGTCTCTTGATGTGGTGGGATTTCACAGTGAAGGAGTATTTTCTAAGCCACAGCTTGGCCTCACATCTCTGATTATCATCATCTGTCCTCAAATTTCAAGGAGAGTCAGATGCACATCCCCACAGTTCCTCTGTTTGGATGCTCAGCTGGGGGTTCTACAGACGTTAACCCCTAAATGCTGGAGTGTTTAACCTCGGAAGAGAGGGATGAGTATATGAATAGATAATGACATGACCTTGGATGTCGGACATGCCCGGCTGCTAATCGTTTTCAAACAGGTCTTCATCAGTTCACCCTCTCACTTATACAAATGCTGCACAGTGGTGGAAAGGTGTTTCTCATGCCATCCCCTCTTGGCAATGGCACAATATGAGTATGTATAATAAGTAATAATGGCGTGATCTTGCACATATCTGAAAACATAGCAGTCTAGGGGGGGATTAAGCTTTTTGTTGTATGTCATGCCTCCTAATAGGATTGTGTGTGAGCAACGATGTACTTGATGTGGAAGCACAGTGACGTCAGCTACTGTATAATAGGATGATATCAGTTGTGAGAAGAAATACACCAATAGGGTTGTTTACTTCATTCTTGTTTACATGTAAAAACTATCCTGAGATGTGTAAAAAAAACAAACACTGTAACATAGAATCATTTGGATATCACTCTTTTCTGTAATAAATAATGGATTGAACCTTTTAAATCGTCTCTTCTTTTTTCCATTGTAAAGTTGAAGAGCGACAATTAAGCAGAAATCTGTCTTTTTGTTTATCATAATCTCTACTTTTATGATTCAACTAATTCTGCTTGTGGAGGAAATTTAAGCCTACCAGAGTGCAGACACTGTTTTATTATTTTTCCTCACTATTATCACAAACCGAAAAACCCTTGTGCCAAAGAACCTTCATATGACATATTGTTAAGAGGATTGTGTTTCTATAACAAGCCCACTATGCATGTATTCTAGCGTTTTCCCACCGCATTATTAAAGTTCATGCCACTGCCGCTCAGCCCTCACCGCTAACTGTTTTTCCATTTATCTCCTCTCAGCTAACTCTGGCCATTTTTTACAGCAAGTTTTCATCAGTCAAGGAAAAAAACAGGCAAAGGTTTACTTTGAGTTCTCATGACAGATGTTTCATACTTTAATTGTTTCCCTTTATGCAGACCACATTAAGATATTTCCTTTCAGATCTTTGTTTTAACAGACATTATGTCACAACCCTTCAAAATTCTCAACGTTTGATCTTTGGTGGAAAATATAGAAGACAGATTGTTACCCGTCAGTGTTACTGTGGTGTTTTTAATCTGTACTATAAAAAAGGGACAAGTTAAATAAACTTGTGGGATATTGAGTTTGCAGTCCAGCAGGTACAAATTAAGGTAAAAGGTTGTCACAAACTGATTACAACTTGAATAAAAACAGGGAAAGTAAAAACAAGACACCTGATAACAAAACTGATGTGTTTTTTTGCTTTTTAAAAAAATTGAATAAAATAAATAAATAATAAATATAGGCACTAAAATTGTACATTTTCTCCAGAGAATAGTAAGGGGAAGCAGTTTTCAAATAGTTGGTTCTCGTTTAGAAAACGGAACTCTGGTGTTACAGAGAATTTATCCCTCAGCTCAGTTTCGCTTCCTGCAGCCGTTAGCGGTTGTTTTCAGGGCAACCTTTGCGTCCATCTACCACTAAAACAACAAGAGAGTCGCTCATATTTTGAACAGAGTAGTTTTCCAGATCAGTCATAAACCCAACCACAGCCTCATATATCAGTGATTTTAACCACCTTTCTGCTCACTCAGACATGGAAGCAGCTCTTGGTCTCCACAAACACCTCCAGATGACTGATGCCAGGTTTCAGCCCTGATTTACAATGAAGGTAACCTGTGGGGCCGCCGAGCCTGGGACTGTAAATCCAAACGCACCGATGTGTAAACAGGACAGGCAGCAGAGGATGACCCCCGGCAGAGAACTCAGCAGGCTCCATTCAGGAGGAGCTGTTGCTGATCAGCATTCAGAGCAAGAAATACCCTCCTCTTCTCCGTTTTGCCGCCTCACTGCAGACTGAAAAATGACAATCACTGTCTGGGTTAAGCCGGACCGCCATGACATTTGGAGGGTTGATGATCACCAGATGTTGAATCCCTCTGTCAGTAGTGATCCCATTTAACCTGAGGTCAACATGTGAGGCACTGTGTAATAGGTTTTTTTAGATTCAAGAGAAGGTTTTTTTGTTCTCGTGATTTTGCTTGTAATAAAATTCTAAGTAAAAAAAGATGTGAATGTAGGGTGGAAAAGTCTTGACCTTTTTCAGACTTACTTTACTGCAACATGTCCATAAAAACAAAATCATTAAAAAAAATAAATGTACTTTTCTTTCTTTCAGTCCTACGAGTCACACCACACTGCACATGCACATGCTTTTTAACTGATGTATAAGGTTTCAGCATAACTGCGCCACTTGAATTTCTAATATATTCATGAATTTCTGTGCGTATAATGCATTGTGCACAGGAGCTGGTGAAGATAGCTGTGCTTCACGCTTGTGGCTATAAGGTCCAGCTGGGTGAATAATTCAGATATAAAGCCTGCGCATGAACAGATAAGATGACCTGTGGAAACCTTTGGCACTGAGAAGCATCAGCTTTAAATAGCAAGTCATGGGTGGGTGGTTATGGGAATGGACATGCAGAGAAATACAGGAAAAGTTGCACCAGAATTTTTATGAACAGACTCAGTTTGATCCATCTTCAAATTATCATTTGAAACACTTTGATTTGGATTATGCATTTTGTTAAAGTTTCTCATTATCCTCAATAGCTGTAATGATACTAATATCAGATTTCTATTTGTTGTGGCATATCTAAGAATTCATTTTTGCCAGAGTAGCATTACAGTAGCTGAAGTAATACGTCTGTGCCTCAGAATGTATGTATGAATGTGCTGGATTTTTTATTCTGATTACTTTTAACAGCAAGCATGTGGAATTAAACTAGCATCACATCAGCTCACACACCTGTCCTGCAGGCTAATGTTGCTGCTAACTGCACTTAGGCCAATCAGGTGTTCTCCCTGCACGTGCATTTAGGTGCTGCTGTGGCCGGAGAAAATTCCACATGCTGCAAAGTCCCGTCACAGGTCAACTCAACCGACCCGTGACCCCACTGATGTTAAGGACATTTTTATGGCAGGTATCTGAGACTGACATGTGCAAAGGCTACCCAAACAACATGCTAACAACAAGTGTTTGATTATATAAGCTTGACTGCAAAGAATCGGAGTTGGAAACCATTCCCTGTTGCCATGTCATTACAGTAATGATCCGTCTCCCTTCCCTTCCTGTATGCCTCATATGCAGGGCTAATGCGTCTCCTGAGTTCCCATTCTTTTTCTCTATATAAGTCATGTTGCAATTCTTAAGAAGCCAGACAGGTCTTTTATTTTGTTTGTGGGTGTTAACTCATCTTATCTAGTACAACGCTATAACACTGTAACACTGTCACTTGTTTGCATACTTGGTCATTGATTAATAGCAAAAAAAACATCCAAAATTCCTTCAATAATGCTGACGCTATTAACTGGTTTTCATTTCCTGCCCAATTCACCACTCTACTTTTGCTAACTTTGAGCCTTTGTGTTCCAGGTTTTGTTTTTGACACTGTCTTGTTTAAACGCATGGTTGCCTTTTCTATTTACTTTTATTCTAATTTTTTTTAAACAACTGACTAAAGTATAAAAACTACTTTCCTAATAAGAAAAAGGGTTAGTATGAAAGCACAGTCAGGATTGTGGCCGCTGTCAAACAGATTTGGCTGAAACTGAAAACAGAAGTTATGTTTCATCGGCTCCACATAAAATTGGAAAATTAGAAACCAAAAAGCCCTATTTTTTGCACACTTGAGTTTCTAAATGTGACCTTTGGTGGGTTTATTCCAGCGTGCGCTTGTTCTGCTCACGGCAAACGTGTGCACTGTGGAGGAGTCATCGTTCAGCACTGAGTGACGTGTGCAAAAAAAGCTCACATCAAACAATAGGACAGAACATCTTTAAAGCCGCAGAATGACTCATGACAGTTTAACATGCTCTTTTGCTTCTGAGAATTCCGGTTCAGCAGAGGAAAACAACATGCCTGAGAAAACATTTTGTTGATGCTGATGACTTGTTACCTGCAGTTGAAACTTTGGTGTATTTTTGTAAACACTTCCAGCTGCTGATGCTTTTATGACTACCACTTATTTCAAGAGATCTGCCTGCATGTGATTTTTGTTTTAAATGACAAAGGATGATACTTTATATGAACCAGCTTTTCAATACTGTTAGTACGAAAAGAAAAACAGGATGTTTCTAAGTGTTTGAGTTTTGTTATTAAACCCCTCTGTCAAATTAATAAATCGTATGTGATATGTTTAGATAGGAATAGGGAGGGAATGGAAAAACATGTGTTTTGTTTCTGTGATTACAACATTGATGTGCATCTAAATCACTTTGTTTTTAGGCTCTGACTAAAAACCTTTTTTTCCAGTAGTAGTGGTAAGAAAGGTCAGAGGTCATGGTCAGTCAGCATCTAAACAGGCAGGTCTTTAAGTAGCTTTGCGTCCAGATGCAGTTTACAGACATCACCACACATACCAGCAGATTTGGGGGTTTTGTAAAGCGTTGTGCATTCTCGTTTCCCTTTGAGAACAGGTCATTTATTACCTCGCTCCCCCACTGTCATGAATAGTTGTCTGGAAACTTAAGTGTGGCTCCATTTTTCAATTTTTCTAAATCTTCAAAATCTTCAAAAATCACTGCTTACACAATCTTCCTGGTGTTCAGGATTAAATTGAAACTGTTTATTTGTTTGGTGTTTTTGTTATTTTTTTTGCTTGCATTGTGCGTGGAGTCTTTAACGCTCCGTGTGTGAAAGCTGTCTGCAGCGTCCTGCACAGCCAGCTGGGCCTTAACCTCCTGCTCACTCAGATCAGCACTAAGAGGAAACCCACCACTATCTGAAAGGCATCTGTCCAAACTGCAGACTTAAGTCTTCTGTACACACACACACGCTCACACACACACACACACACACACACACATAATACAGTGGAGGATCAACAAGAACATCCTATCCAGCTCCACTAAATTATATTTGTTGCTACACATGTTGCTACATCTGCTTCCAGGCAGCTTCACCCTGCCGTGCCCTCCTCTGCCTTGGCGAGCCTGCCAGTTCATTCCATGAGAGTTTGTGTAGAACAAACGCTATATTTATTCAGGTGTGAGCTTAAATAAGGGGCGGCCAGCACACAGAAAAGTCTCCGGCTGCGTCTGAATGTGTCCCCCATTAGCACTTTGGTCAGAAGTGCAGCAGCGCAAACAAACCTTTTTTTCTGCCTCTAAAAGTCCTCCTTTAATGACTCAGAGCTTGTGGGAAATACAAAAATATGTAGATATACTCGGTTAGCTGAAGTAAAATAGCAGATTCTCCCCAAGTACTTTGACCGCACATGTGCCGTGCCTCCATAATGACCCACATGAAAATAAAAATGTGCTCATGTTGGAAATGACTCAGACCTATCAGCGGTGCAGCTATGCATGTGTCAAACAGAGGCTTGTATGTTTACATGAGATCTGCCAGCTGACACAGAGCAGCACTCCAATAGCTCGTTCTCTGTGTGTGAAATGCTGTTAGCGTCTTATATTAACAATGAATCGATTTATGTTATGTGAATCTTTTCACCTGATTCAGCCGTTAATCTTGATTTTCCTTAAGTACTTTGCACATTATTTTCTGGCCCACAGATTCATCGTTTTGGCTGGGCAGCAGCCCGCTGCTTGCTCAGCACCAAACAGCACTTTGCAAGATCCGGCAAGGATTATGGCAGGCACAGAGTTGCTAAGTGAACAGTGGGCTTGAAAAATTAATGAAGTAGGTAAGAATGCAACAGCAAAGAGGCCATTATTGTCGCGCTGCATTTCAGTTTGTTTTTGTAAAGCAGCTTATTGGTTTTCTACAGTTTGCAGAGCGAAAGCACAGATAAGATCAGAATCCGGATTATTCAGTTACTGATGAACTGCTTCAGGAGTAAAGAGATAGTTACCACGTTTGGTGAATGAAAATAATTAAACCACACCAAACCCTACCATAGTGTGCCATACAACACCATATCGCTGGTAAAACACCCCCATGGCTTCTAAATAGGTGGACTGTACTGAGTTCACAATGAGTCCAGTGTTTAGAGCTCGCCATATGCTTCCAGTTTTTGTCTGTATTCAGTGTGTATTGCATAAAAGCTGAGAGTCACATCTGGGACCACCCTGTGAAAAGGTAATTAACCCAGACAGGATATGTAATAGAGGGGATCGCGGCCCGGGGGACTCTCGCTCCACGCAGTAATGTAATCACCTGACCGGGCTCATCAGATTAAGCTCTAACTACACTGTCACCACATGGAAATACAATTAAAATGACTTCAGACCAAGGTCCACCTGTCCTGACACAGTTGAGCTCTGGACAAGAAAACAAGGTGCTCTGATGATAAGCAGCTTTTGATTTCTTTCTTATTTTTGGGAGGGGGAATTTACTGAGTTTTTCTTCATTCAGCAAAAACAAGAAAATAGAGCACTGTAACCTGTTTGGTCTGTACCTTTTAGAACTGGGGATCAGTCGAAAAATTTGGGATTTCATTCACAATAGCTCTGTAGAAGTGGCTCAGGAATATTTCTAAAAGACAACATATGGTCTGGGAAAATAAAAGATGAACATCCCAAATATGTGTTTAATGGATAAGAACATTAGATGCTACAACTGAAAATGGTTGTAACTGCCACACAAGTCTAATTTCCTGTTTTCCATGGTTAAGTAATGAAAACTGCTTCAAATCCTCCAGATTTGGACAATCAGAATCCCCTGCTCAAGTGTGAACTATTTCAGATGGAATGGAGCTACTTTGCTTGGCGGTGACAGTGTGTTTAGCCCGGGGGCCGCCGGGGGCCCTTTCAGCAGGCTGTCTGCGCCTTTTAGGGTGACGGGGGGGGGGGGGGGGGGGGACTGTGTAACATGAGTCGGGATGAAAACTCCGCGCTGAGTCCGGCCACTGCTCCAGATGCTGCCAAGCAGGGAGAGGAGGCGCATGATGGATCCCGTCCCGCTGCTGCTGGCCGTGGCCGCAGCCCTGCCGCTCTGCTGCGCGCTCTACTCCGGGCCCCTGCAGCCCGAGATCTCCAACGGCACCTTCCACCACTTTTTCGTGCCGGACGGGGACTACGAGGAGACGGTGGACCCGGAGCAGTGCCAGATGCTGTTCAAGTTCTCCGACGCGTCCCCCTGCGGGGGCTGGGAGCAGGGGGACGCGGCGGTGCGGGAGGAGCTGGTCCTCAGCAGGCTGCAGGCGGAGGAAGCGGCGCGGCTCCTGGAGGGCATCGGCCGGACCGTGGCGCACGACCTGGACGGAGAGGACGGCTACGGGACGTTCCTCCGGCGGGAGATCTCCCAGATCAGCGAGGCCTTCTCCAGCGTGGACAAGTCTCTGCTGGAGCTGGAGGCCAAGTTCAAGCAGAGCCAAGAAACCGAGCTGCAGGAGGAGCAGCAGCTGAACGGCCACGTGCTGAGGCAAGCGGGGGACGTCAGGGACGCGCTGAGGGAGACCACCGACGTGTCCCTGGGGCTCAGAGACAGACACGAGCTGCTGTCCCTCATCATCCGCAGCCACGGCACCAGGCTGAGCCGCCTGAAGACCGAGTACCTGAACGTTGGCTCCTAATGGAGCTGGTCAGTGTGCGCAGGAGCCTCCAGCTCCTCACACGACCCCAAAGTTCATCGTGACTTTTTCAGCGTCTCTCTGAAATACTGTGACCTTTGCTTGTTCCCATTTCTCGGAGCTGTGGTGTCACTGAAGGGAGCTGTACAAAAATATCCACACATTCCTCTCAGTCAGGATAGGAGGGGGAAAGAAACGTTAGCATAAATTATGCCTGCAATGAGCCCTTTGTGCCACTCCTGAGGGGAGATTTTATTGGAGTATGAAAATAAGAGGCAAAAAATTTATATATTTCCAGATTTATATAAAACTGTCTGTATGATTTAAACTTTGTTGCAAGATCAAATAAAAATCTGTTTCATAACATAACATAACACATTTCTTTGAATCCAAATGGAATATTGTCCTCTTGACAAACTTTCCGCATTGCAAATTCAATGTTTTTCTTTTTCATTTCCTCATTGTGTCATGAGAGCGATTTAGACTCACACTGAGCTTGACTGTAAATCTCCATCCATTCAGCTTTGAGGTTTGTGGAAACATTTCTTTTCATTGTCAGCAGTGAGCAGTAACTCTGCGCCACTCTCACTGTTTTACATCACCATGGTTGTTGTTGTCCCTAGAAGTGGCAAACTTAGCTCTCCCTTCAATTGAGACCTGTCTAACGGGCGTCTCAAGTCTGTCACTGCCTCCCAATTCCATCTGGAAGTCATCTACTCCAGTATGACATTTATTTGTTCAAAGGCAGCCACTGTCTGTATCTGCTCTTTTATCTGTCCTAATCTGTAGACTTCATGTCATGACTAATATCATCGTGTTAAAGTCTTCAGATCTTTCAAATGAGGTACTCCTACTAAAAATGGAACATGAATTGGCATAGAGCTTGTTTGTATCTTCATTAAAATGTCTTGGTTTCTTTGTTTTCAGCTGTGCCAAAACAAGCTTCTTATTTCTAGGCGAAAGTTTTTAACGAGGCATTTTTTGCTTGGCTTGTTTTCCCTTAAATCCCTTGTTTTAATTTGCACATTTGAATCTGAAATTTCGAATGTTTTTTTTCTGCCTTTAACTGCCGCGTAAAATTCCAACCACTGTCTCCAAGAGCCACAGAGTAACTGCCGTAAGCATGCCCACTTTTACAGAGATAGCGTCTCCAAAGATTTTAGGAAGCCAGATGGGCTGCCACAAGCTCAACTGGGTGTGATTTCCTCTGTCTGGTTTTCCTCGCAGTCCAGTTTCCCCTGAGGGACCCCTTTTTAAAAACAGTCCTCTGTAGCTCAGCACAGGGGCAGACCGACCTCACCAGAAACCCTGAGCTGCAGGAACTCTGTGTGCAGAGAAACCCTATATGTCTGCAGCGCTCTGAATTTCCAGGGGCACCGCTCGGGCCTCACAAGATTTGATTTAAAAGATGCGGTTTAAATTTCCACAGTGTGAGTAAAGGTAGAGCTGGGCAGAAACTCTCACCAGCAGCCCACCCATCCCAGTTCATTTGTCTTTTTTGGCTCAATCTGTTGATTCCACTTACAGAAAAATATGTATTTCCTGCTGACTGATTTAAGTTCCTGATGCTTGGAGGCATGGAAGTCAGAGCAGTAGGCATGCTGTTGGAAGAATGTATTTCCCCTCAGACGTGTTTTAAGGACAAACAAAGGAGAGGTCAGGATTGCAGACCAGAGTTGACCCGAGAATACTCTGACCCCTCTCTGTGCTGAGCACAAAAGCAGCATGCCTCTGTGCCGTCAAAAAGAGGAGAGCTGCGACATGTGCTACTAATCTGGCTGTAATTATACCTTCTCTGAACACTATGACACAATACATGCTTTCTTTTAGGATCCTCTGGAATGAAATAAATAAATAAATACCCACCATTGAAAAAAAAAAAAGAGGAAAGACATTTCAGTGGACAACTGGGAGACCTCCCATCAGGGAAACTGCATCACTGTCAGATACACTCTATGTCAGTGTGACTTCTACTTTTCTTACCGGACTAAAAAAGGGGTAGAAACACTTGTATGGCACACTGATGTGATGAGATACAACACAACGATACTCAATTAAATAAATGAAGACAATACAAATCATATAATGTAATTTCAATCGAATGATCAAACCATGCATCTAAAACTGTGTCTTCAATATTTAACAAAACCACTACATTTCAGTAAACATACAAAACACAACTAATGCAACTGCACGAAACACAAGGATTAAAACAAGCATACATCACAATTTTTTATTAAAAAGTCCAAGACATCAAGCTCACCTTTTTCGGGGGAAACAGATTAAACTAACACAATGTTTTACACAAAACAAAAACAAAAAATGTCAGTACATCAGAAAATATCAAGAAAAATTGTTTATATTCTATGTTGTTAAAAATTGTTTGTGTCTTCGAAAAAAAAAAAGTGTTTTCTTTTGTTGTTGTTGCTGTTTTGGTCCAGACTGTGGTGCAACATGGAGCTTTGGAGACTGTGTTACATTGTCTTTATTTTTCTGTTGCATCAGGTTTGTGATGGGTTTTGTGGGGCACCCTCAGGGCTGGATAAATAGACGGTAAACTCATCTGATATAAAACACTCATTCCGAAAAGTGTGGACGTTATGTAGAAAACAAACTTTGAGGTCATGACATTTAATACACTTTAAGCCAAAAAACTAGCCTGAAGCATCCCCCTACAGCATTAAATGGCTTTTTGATCAAGTAGATGAATTAAATGAATTTAGGATTTGTTCTTATCAAACATTTCAGTACTTGTATTGAATATGTATATTTATGTATTTAGTTCAATTATCTAAGTTTTCTGCAAATAGATTTAAATCCATTTTGCATGATGGTGATGATAAAAAAAGAAGACCTGTGTATGTCACTGATGATGAATCCTCTGGAACGGAAAGAAGATTAAATCCATTTGGATTCAGGTCTTTGAACTTGATGATTCAATTCCTCATCAGATTTTTTGGCATTTCTAATATACAGAGAACACGTGTAAACACCATGCAGCCCCAGTTTGAACAGAGCAAACAGCCGGATTTCTTCCAGCATTTAATCTGCTTTGATTATCTTAAAGATTATCAGAGGAATAAACCGAGCAGGAAATGCTGAGGAGAGGTAACCCTTCAAAAAGTGGAAGTCACTTTTTGAGTAATGGTGTCAAATGTATGCATTGTTCCTTAAACTTGCTAAGTGAGGGTAAAACTAGAAAAATATCCCTGTAGACTGAGTGTAAAGGATTGTCTGGATTTGACAGATGTGACTGACGTGAAAAAAGTAGGATTCTGTTTAAATGAGATTCCCTTCTGTTATTTGGATCGGTCTCTTTTTGTCAGTTTGTTGCTGGGTTTTGGACATGTAAGCCCACAAGTGCTCTGGGTGGCTGCATAAAAAAGGCTTTCATGCAGCTCCGTGCAAAACCAGCGTGATATTCAGGGAGAGTTTTAAGATGCTGGACAGCTTTGTGTCTGTTGTTTGGCCTCTGCCTGCTCAACCTCACAGTCTGGGATGCCAACAAAAACATTTACATGATGTCTATTTAAGATATCATGCAGAAAACAATTGTTGTACCATGGTTGTTTTATTTTTCAAAAAATATCTTGATGGGAGTTAGACCTCAAGAACACAAAACATTTCCTTCAAACACAGTTTGGTCTTAATGCTCATATTTTCCCTTGAATAAACACAAATGCATCTGCATACATACAATTCAAAAAGTACATGTACATATTTTGTTTTGAATGGGTACATAATGATACACAGTTGCCCTTTGACATGTGATGATGCACGTCCATAGTTTCATCTTCAATATTTCAAAGTTGTGCTATTGATCTTTTGCCAATGTTTGTTTTTCATGTTTTTTCTTCTCAAACTGGCAGCTCTTATAGGAAGAAATGTTCGGATTCTCTTTGTAGAGATCAAGCAAATGACATTGAACTATTCATTCATCAAGAGGGACCGAAAAAAGCACCAGAGGAAGTGAAATTCAGTCAAATGTCACCTCTTTACCGTTTTCCTGTCAGTGGGTGTCAGTTCTGTGCTTTCTCTGTGCCGAGCCGTGTGAAGGCGTGCTCTGCTCTGAGTCCCTGGATAAAAACTGTCTCTGGATCAGGGCTCCTCGCTGTTTCAGGACGAGACAGGCGCCTGGTAAATGTAGCCTGGCCTATCACACGCAGCCGTTCTCCTGTCTGGGCTTGTGCACCACGGGGGTGTGTGGAGGGTACAGGGAAGGGGCGAGCGTGCACAGGAAGCCAGCCAGCAGCGTGAGGCCCAGTCCGCCCCACGCACAGAACATGGACCAGCCGTACCCGTGACTGATGTCCTCCGGTATTCCAAACATGTAGCGGGGATAGCGGGACAGTTCAAAGTTGATCCCGGCCACACATGTGCAGAGGGAGATTATGCAGCAAGTCCCTGATGGAGGGCGAACACATAACAGGTCAGACTTGACAGCAGCCCAAATCCATCTCCTGTGATGCATCATTTCACCCCTCTCATTAATAAAGACCACACTGCCCCTCCGTGGTGAGTCGGGGCAATGCTATTTACGTAAAGTACATCTTACCTCCCATGAGGAAGAGGAGTCCGGCGACATACTGCATCAGATCATGCTCCTGACAGCAGCCCAGCACGCCTATGATCCAGCCGAACAGGATGATGGCTATGGCCATGCCTATGAAGCTGGCCGTCATCCTCTGGAGGTCTGAGAAACGCACAGCACAGGCCGTTTGACAGGGTTCTCTGCATCATTCCCGCAGATTAAGAACAAAAAAAAATGCTGGAAACTCACGTAGCGCGTGCCACTCATCCTGCCTGATGGTTTTGGTCAGGTTGATTGGCAGGCTTCTGGGGAGCGCTGACGATGAGTAGTAGTATTTTATTGGTGTGCAGCGCGGAACCAATCCTGTGGATGTAAACAACACAAAGAGGGATGCCTGGCGTTAGCGCTGAAATGAGACGAAGAGGATTTCACAATTCCCTGCTGCCTCCCCCTCAAAATAAAGCTCCCAACCCCCTTCCACCACCGCCCACCCATCCACCCACCCACCCACACCATTGTGGAGTGGCTAGTTGTACACATCTCGAGGCTTTTGTTACTACGACTCGCCCTTTCGGGGGAGAGTTGCGCGTCCATTGCGATGTAAGTGTAGGCTACTCCGTGTTTTGCTGCGTAGGCCTCGAGGGTCTGTGCGCAGCATCAGCACCTTGGATAGCGCATCGGTACACAAAGTATTCACCGAAAAGACCCACGCACACATCCCCAATATCAGCCCCAAACGCACCACCAGATCAAAAAATGACGCCTGTGAGCAAACCTTTAAAGATCAAATCCTCCGTCTCCAGGTCGAATCCCTCTCTGTGGCACTTTCTCCACAGCCCCGTGATGGTGGAGTTGAAATGCCGACTGCAGAGGGACTCCATGGCCGGGGCAGGAGGGGAGAAGTGCCGTTTGGCCCGCAGCAGCGCCCCTCCGCTGGAGCCGGAGCCTCTCCTCTCCACCGTTTTCTCTCTCGGGAGCATGCGAAGCGGAAGGTTGTTGTTGGAAATGTAAATGTAGCCCGGGTCGTTCCTTTTGTTTGAGTAATTCTTGCAGCGCTCCCGGTGCCGCCTGGCGTCGGTCTCGTACCAGTTGTCGGTGCTAATGGCCACGGCTATCAGCCCCAGCGCGCAAAACGCCAGAAACAGACCCGCCGCCGTCAAAGTCCTCATAGCAGCCATGTTCCGCCGCGGTGCCGAGATAATTCCACGGGACGGCAGAAGTCAGCGGCTGGCCGCTGCTGTCAGTGTCTGCGGTGGGGGGGATTTTCAGCTGTACATGGGCATTTGAAAAGCAGATGCATCATCCAGACCCACTTTGTCCCGATTGGCATGCCATGTTAGAGAAGAGCATCAAACTGGAGCGCAAAATAAAGAGATGTGGGCCTGGTGAGCTATTTTAGCTGTCTCCTTTACGCCTCTGAACCCAGTCTAGCCTAGATACTGGACAGTCCAGCATTTCTTCCCAGCAGATGGAGACAGAGGAAGTATTTAAGCTCGAGCCCCCGGGCTGCACACTGTGTGCTGTGGATAGGAAGAGGCTGCCAGCTTGTTCAACTCGCACAAGAGGAAGAATCCTCCCTCCTCCAAATTGAATCAAAACATTTGCTGTTGTCTCCTGCCTTCTGTCAAACACTAAGAGGCAGAGAAAAAACTAGCCCCACAGAGCACCCTGTTTTATTTGCGTGGTGCATCAGACAGTTCCACCACATCCAGCAGATTACCTCTGGTAAATTTCCATTCCTTTAGACAGACGCGCACATTTAAAAAAAAAATCGTTCACTGCATAGTAGAAGCGGGATGTAAATCTTTGAAAACATGACATAGATGATAATCTCTAATGTCCAGCTGGATAATAATTGAGCTTATTTAAGATCAAGCAGAACGAAGAAGCATGCAAAAAATTAAAACCATGCATTTAATACTTTACAACAACTAAATTAAATCAAACAAGATAAAAAACTGGATGAATTGTTCTTTTTTACTGGCTCATTTGGAATTTAATGTCAGCAACGCATTTCTCAAACATTGGGCTCACCACTGGGTTGCATCACTTCCCCTTTCAACAACACAGGGCTTGGGAACTGAGAAAAATAACTGATGTGGTTCTTAAAGATAGAATTTTCCAAGTCTTGCTCCACATAGGATTTAAACTGCTCAATGGATCAGAGCTTCCTTTATTGCGTTACTTTTGTAGCATATTATGTATATATACATAATGCTTTGAAAAGTAAAAGATACTTCAGTAATCTGTTTTAATTGTTAGGCATTCATGGTGCCTCCAGACATGTGGATGTTACACATACCGTGAACACTGTGCCCCCCTTTACCTCGGCTTAGATGGCTTCTGAACTTAGAGCAAGTAAAATAATAGTTCACCTTTTCTGGGTAGGCTAAGGGTTGTTGTTTTTTTTATTTTGGGATAGGCTTTAACTTACATTTGTGAAAGCATTGACAATATTTTTGTCGGGTTGTTCCAGAGCCCATTAAACTGATTTTAGATAATGATTCTTCCATGTTCACATTCAGTTCCCTCCCATGTCTACTGAACACTCTTTTGTGTCTTTTGAGTAGAAAACAGCTTTTCCCTGTCCTTTTTCCCAAGCCCAAACCTATATGAATGCAGAAGTGTCAAATGCTCATATGTGCGTTTCATTCAGCACTGAATTTCACCGTGTCACTATTTATATAAAGTTTTTAGCTAAACTATGATTTATGAATCACTGCCAAATTCTTCCTCTAAAGGGAAAAATCCAAGCAACTAACACAAAGGACACAGAGGGTCCAACCATTTTAGCAATGTTTTCACTGGTTTCATTCTCATGGTCAGTACTTCCTCTATTGAACCCAAAATGCCAGACTAAAAGGGGAACAGACCTGATTCCAAACTTCACTTTTGGTTTCACCTTTTATGTGCACGTTAAAGACAAAAACCTACTTGTGATCATGATGTCTGTTTTTCCACTTGGATAAGATATGTTACATTGAAATGTAAAATTGAGATGACAGAAGATACATTTCATTTCACCACTTGAGCTAACAAAGTTAAGGCTTTAACTTGGGAACCCTAATCGCACAAAAATGCTCCATTTTATGTCTTAAATCAACCTAAGAGCGTCCACTCTTTTTTTAAATGTCCCACACAAACATCTTTGAAAACTCTACCACAACTTAAAAAAAATTCTAAAAATATATATTTTGAAACATCTTTTTAACTTACAGGAAATGTATTTAAATGTGGCAAATGGCCATCAGGAACTAGCTGGTCATATGAATTCGACAATATGAATGTAGACTGCATAAGGTCCAGCTTAGCTTATTTCTCACTTTCAGTTCCCATTTGTCTGTTGAAGTCGACATTGCGTGTTTCTCTGTGAAGCAAGAGGAAAAAGTCAACTTTTATCACAAGCCTCAAGAGCCAAGGTTCTCATGCTGTCCGGTTTAGTCTTGTTTACATGATGGATGGCTTTGTCATATCTGTAAGTGGCTTTTTTTTGCTGTTTTCATTTCTAGCTAACACATGAGGAGTCCACAGTTCTGTCAAAGCTCAGGGAATTTTAAGATTTGTACAATTTGTTTGAGCTTAGGAATGTTGAGAGTTTAGCAAGTGGGATTTTTGAGCAGAAGAGTTCAGTTTTGGCTTAGTAAAGAATCTATTTAAGGTATGAGCCCCAATATAGAAAAAATACACCTGTCTTTTGGGTGTTATCTATTTTTTGTGTTAAACTTAAAGGAGAGTAAAGTCATATTTATGCTTATTTATGTTTAAGAGGACTATGGATTTACTTTGTCAGTGAAAAGCAAGAATGATTTTTCTCCCTCAAGCCATCAGAAGAAATCATTTCAAATGAGGCTGCGAATTATCGATCACCGGTGGACCTGTACAACTACCTAAACAGTGTGGGGGAGAGTTACGAAGGTAAGGAGACGGGATTTACTTCTTCAAAAATGATTTATGAAAATACAAACTGCTCAAACATTTACCACTTTTAAGACCACAAATGGGCCCTCCATTCTGATCGAGTCCAGCCTTCAGACTTTGAAAATTCCCCAGTGAATCATCTGACAGAGCTGCAGGCGGTATCATCTCAACAACTCATCCAACCCTTTCGGTACAGCAGCGACCCCCTGCACCTTCACCTGGACCCTCCACTCGCTCCTCTCTCCCTGTCCTCACAGGTACGTTCCTGTGTCCAAGTTCAAGATTGCACAAGCAAAATAAGACAGTAGCTGTTGCTGCTGAGCCTCTGATGCATAAGAGTCCTGCTAATTTCACTCAAACAAATAAAAACCCTTCTCCTAAGAGGAAAGAGTTACTCAAATTCAATATGATGGCAATCTTTAATGTAAAATCATTGTTAGAGCACTGTGGCAGTACTGCTGAAAAAACATTGTGCAAACTCTTACAATATTGTGTGATTCACCGACATCTATTTGCTCATGGAAAAATTTGACATAATTTGACGTCAGTGAAACACTCAAAACTTTCCCAAGCACCTTGTCAAAAGAAAGCCAGAACAGATTAGATTACAATTTACAGCTTCTACACTTGTGTGAACACTAGGTAGCAAAATACTGAGTGGCATGTAATCATGTGCAGTATGGAGCAGTTATGTTCCTATGTAATTATCTGAACTAAATAAAAATATTCTGTACGTGCACATGTAACTTTGCTGAAAATATTTGGCAATTATTCAACTTTAAATGGTATTAAACATAATCTAACCTTAGACATGTAAAAAAGAAGTACTGCCTGACATGGAGGGATGAGGATGTTTTCAGTCAAAAGCTAAAAGCACCACGTGGTGTTCCTGAGCACTCAAATCTATTTTGGCAGAATAACTTCCTCTTTTTATTACAATGACAGTGTTTGAACAAAAATGTCAAACAGTGAGTGAGTAGAAAACAAACAAACAAAAAAAGGAATGATGATTTGTTTTAAATTTCCTCTGAAGATCCCATATTACACCCAGGCCCTGTGCTACCAGTACCCCCCCTCAGCCTCACCTGGACATTACTACAAAGAGGAGGAACAAAGAGCCATCAGTCCCCCGCTGGAGGTCTCAGAGGGGGAGGATGAGTGTGAGGACCGCGGCCACTCTTTTTTTCGAAGAGACACTAGTGAGTGTCCCCAGTGCAGCCTTTCAACTGAGCCAGAATTCTGATATTCATAAGTATGTGCTGACATGTCGAAAAAAACACCCTGACAAAAAGTCACACTTTCCGTTCCAGACAATAAGAAGAAAATCCGCCTGTACCAGTTCCTCTTGGACTTGCTTCGCAACGGCGACATGAGTGACAGCATCTGGTGGGTGGACCAGGACAAAGGCATCTTCCAGTTCTCCACAAAACACAAAGAAGCTCTGGCGACCACCTGGGGCATTCAGAAAGGAAACCGCAAAAAAATGACCTACCAGAAAATGGCTCGAGCTCTGAGGAACTATGGTAAAACAGGAGAGATTAAGAAAGTGAAAAAGAAGCTCACCTACCAGTTCAGTGAGGAGGTTCTCCGGAGCCTGTGTTTACACCAGTACCATCACTGATGTAGGAACAAAGTTTGTCTATCAGAGGGCTGAGACTAAACCTGACAAAATCATGGTTTGCTTGTAGATTTGCTTCAACGCTTTGTTTTTCTGCCAAATTGTCAGATTTATTTATTTGTAATGCCAGTGGGTGACATTCATTACCGTCCACTTAAAATTGCTTCATTTGACTCAAATTAAGTTTCTGTGTCTAAAGGAAAAATGAAAACCCACAATCATGATAGCTTTGTTGCATTAGTGTCTACATTGTGTGTCTACATACCTCACACTGTAGCCTTTATTGTTTAATTACTGAAATAAAGTAAGTTCATTTTTTGGACATGCATAACAACTTGGTTTAAATTTTTGTGAACATATGGTCAGATAAGATTCAATTTAAACTGTAAAATAAAAACTGTTAAAAACTCCAATTGAATTTGTAGTTTGAAGACTTGTTGAAAATTTGATATGGAAAAAGATTAAAAATGTTTAAATGCCATCATTTAACTCACAATTACTTCATAGTCGTCAGACTGGAAAGAAACATAACATTTCTGTTTAATTGTGAATTGAACAGAGCACTTTGTTCAAGAACTATAAGAGAACTACTTAAGAACTATAAATGTGAGGAGATTGTGAAGATGTGTGGGTAAAATGTGGGATGAGATTCAATAATTATTTCTGCTGGACTCACCAAGACCTTGAAAGAAGCACACCATCAACAGGAAAGAAAGAAGAGAAATCCAGAAATAAATAATGGTTACACAATCAAGAAACAAAGCAGCCGGCTCTAAAAGAAAGCCCCTGTCAATAAAGTCCTATGTATCATTAAACGATTCACAGATAAATCAGTGCTGAAGAAACTGCACCAAACATAAGTTTAAAACTATACTAAATCGATTTTGTATAGAATTTGTATACAATATGCTAAATAGATTTGCATATATATATATATATATATATATATATATATATATAGTGTGTGCGTGTGTGTGTGTGTGTGTTTAGCCATCACCAAAAACAGAGCAAGCCTGTGAAAAATACATGAGGTGGAATAAACGTCCCCAGACAGTAGGGTAGGCCGAACACTACGGGTTTTCCCTATCATCTCCTCTTGCCAATATTACAGGGAGACGTGACTGAAGAGACGTGAGGGAGACGTGATTGAAGAAACGTATTTAACTTAATATATATATATATATATATATATATATATAGTTTGATATATAATAAACATGTTTTTAACGTAACGTCCTGCTCCTCTTATCCAGTGGGCGGCAGCAACGCACCCGAAATAATAACGTAGAAGAAGAAGAAGAAGCTTTTTTTTTTCCCCGTCGACGTCAGAGTAATCAACCAATCGTTGCTCAGACGTTGTTTCGGTGCAAATTTCAAATGCAGTAGACTAACGTAAGGATAGTCAGATAGCTAGCCGCACCGGAATTAACCCAATAACGGATTTAGGAGAATTGTTTTTAATTCGCTTCAGCTGTCTGTGGTGGAGAAATGAGAGTGAGGTCAGTACGCAATTTTTTTTCATAATTTTCTGGCACTGGTGGCTTCATGGTGATTTTCAGGTGAAATTAACTGTATACACAAACTGTTTGGCACCCGTCTCTGTATTTTCCATTGTGTACTGTGTATAGCTAGTTTCTACGAACGGTTGGTGCTACTCGAAACATGATCTATGTTGTTTAAGTTATAAAAATGAGTAACTTTACCGTCAGCAACTAGCTAGCTGCTGAATGTGGCGTCTAACGTCAGCACTCGCCTGCTAGCAGTTAGCCATCTGATATTTAAATTTCGCATGGATGTTTTATGTAGGTTAGAATCGTTCCAGTAATGTTAAGTTGTTTTATTTGAACTGGAGGTACATTGAACCCATGATTCTTTTCCAGTGAAGTCCACGCAGCAGAGTCTGTTGCCTACCTCAACAGGGCGCTGGTCAGGCTCCAGGACATTTGGGAAGAAATAGGAATCCCAGAGGAGCAGCGACTACAGAGAACCAACGATGTTCACAAGCACATAAAAGTGAGCCCCCCCTTCCTAAAAAGTCAGTTTTTTTAATGTGTATCAAAAACAAAGCAAGACTATCGCTTTTTTTGCTCTTCCTTTCATGTAGGGCTTGCTGGACCTTATGATTGCTGAAGAGGAGGAACTGAGGAAAGGATTACTGAAAAGCATTGAGTCTTGTCGCAAGGAGCTTAGTGACTTGTACAGCGAACTTCAGATGCCCCCCTTTGAGGTACACTCACAAACTAAACTCATGTCGGTTATAAGGGCCGCCATGAAGCCATTGTACCAGAGGCCAGTTAAAGCCACACCCAAGACAAGTGCTGGTTTAAACCTTCAAACAAAGATTTCCACTTCGAGGGAGGGGTGAAATATAAAAACAAGGCGATCATAATGCACCTGAAGGATAATCCACTTGCACATCTCACATATGTGCACAACCATTGATCTTGAAAAGAGTTTTAAAACGATTGAATTTATAATGAAGGGTAATTAATGAAAGATCATCAGTGAAGTGGACAGAGAAAATAGTAAAAGTTTTAACTTCTAGAGAACCACAGTTTGGTTTATTTGAAGCATTTCTCTGCAGGAGGAGGATGGCTGCACCATACTGCAGATGGAGAGGAATAGCCGCACCCGTCTGGAGGTGATGAGGAAGCACAAGAGCCAGAGAGTGGAGGAGCTTAAGGGCCTTGTTCTCAAAGACCGAGACCTGTGCGACATTATGTGCACGACTCCCTTCTCCATCAATCAGAGCTCTGTGCCATCACTGAATCAGCTGGAGGCTTACCGGGCCTACCTGGATGATCTCACCAAAGAGAAGGTGCTTGGTGTTGTTTCAGTGAGCATTATTGTACTTTTATCTGTCAGACTTCTGACCAGTTTGGACTTTTCAGGAGCACCGCCATGATGAATTTGTAAGCATCAAAAAGGAAATTGTTGTTTGTATGGACGATCTGGAGCAGAGCCCAGAGACCAGCTTTGAGACGGACGTGATGTGTGAGGATGAGGAGGCCTTTTGTCTGTCAAATGACAATATTTCTGCTCTTAAACTTCTTCTCAGTCAGGTTGGTTTGCTAAATCTCTATAACTTTGCCAGTTTAAGTCTAATAATGACAGTAACTTAGATGTTTGACTTGTATCTCTTTTCAGTTACAAGAGCGAAAGGCTGAGACTGAACTCCTTTGCTCCGGTTTACGAACAAAGATCCAGGAGCTGTGGGAAAGGCTTCAGATTCCTCAGGAAGAAAGGGATGCCCTCTCTGAACACATGGTCAAATCAAAGAAGAAAAACATTGAAGCAGTAAGAAATCCACCACCTGGGGTGGTTTTATTTTTTCTGTGGTTTCATAAAGCACCATGAACACCAAAGCTTTTTTCTGTGTTGAACCCAGCTCCAGACAGAGGTCCAGCGTCTACAGCTGCTGAAAATGCAGAGCATGAAAAGTGTCATCGAGGCAATCAGAGCAGAGATGATTCTTCTGTGGAAGAGGTGCTTCTACAGCCCTGAACAGCAGCAAGCTTTTGCTCCATTTCATGATGGTCAGAAACTCTTTCAAATGGTGTTTACTCTGATTTCCAGGAGACCTTAAAAGGGAAAGAATAAGCTATTTTCTTTCATTTCTTTTTGCAGATGATTTCACTGAAGACCTTCTCGATATCCATGAAGCCGAGGTCAGAAACCTGAAGAACTACTATGACGACCACAGGGAGCTTTTTGAGGGAGTCTCCAAGTGGCAGGAAAACTGGACCTTGTACTTGGAGCTTGACGTGAGTGTGATCCTAATCTAATAAGATCACCAAGGTAACTTTCTACTCTTCCACTGACGTGATCCTTTGTTTGGGTTCCTATTTCAGAAAAAGGCTAATGACCCTTCCAGGTTTAACAACAGAGGGGGAAACCTTCTGAAAGAAGAAAAGCAAAGAACTGACCTGCAGAAAAGTTTGCCCAAAGTGAGTTTTTCTTTTCTCTTCACCTGTTTTCAGACCAATCCTTAAATAAGATTGCTAATTTTAGCAGACTTTTTCAAATTCAATTGAAGCTTTTTGATGGGAGTTGTGTGTATGGTACTAATATGACAAACTGGCTGTTAAAAGATGAGTCCGGCAAATAAGGGACAGAGAAAAGCAGGTTGTAAATACACTTTTGGCCAGCAGATGGGGGTGTCGAAAACAAATATCCTATATCTGTTGGTCTTGACACATCTACTAAACAAGAGATTACAAAGACATGCTACAAGTTGGACTGAGATGTCCAGCTGTTCACCACTGGCACAAAAATGTTAAGGACCGGGAAAATGGTGCGAATGTGTCTTTCAGTTGGAGAAAACCCTGAAGGTGCAGATTGACGCTTGGGAGCAGGATCATGGGAAGGAGTTCCTGGTGAACGGACAGGAATTTCTTACCTACGTGCAGCAGCAGTGGGAGCAGCACCATGAGGAGAAGGAGAAGGAGAAACTTGAGAGGGTATGTTATGGGATTGCTTTTTTTTTTTTTTTTTCTATAACAAAGTATATATCCTGCAGAAGTAGTGTTGTCAAAATTTGGCAATATTGTTTGTAAATAGCAACTGAAGAAGACTAAGCAGACAAAAGAAGATATGCTGTACGGGACATCGGTGAGAACGCCGTCGAAACGGCGAATGGCGGGAACTCCCACACCCAGCAAAGTGAAAAAGGTGAGATCTGGTGGGAGAATTTGACTCTCGTGCCCCCAGAGTCAACGGGCAAAGTGATGACATCTTTATCCTTTGTGTGTATGTCTGTGTGTGTCTTAGCTCAACGGCACGACCACCATCTCCACTCCAACCAGTTTCCTCAATTCAGGCCTCGGTGGAACCATTTGCCAGTCTTCCATGCAGAAACCCCCTCTGTCTGCCAGCAAGGTGTGTGTAGTGTGATTACCCTCTCAGGATACCGACGGCCAGCCAGCAGTATTAGTAAGGTGGAGCGTTGTGGGCTTTATCTCCAGTTTAGATGGTACTGTCTTGAGAGCAGTTTTTGTTATATTCCCATCCAGAACTAGAGTTTGTGTACTGTGTGTGAGCAGGTGTTTACAATGATGATACGATACAGCATGAGTTTCAGATTGTGTCCCTTTTAACACTCCTTCAGCGTGAACCTAAATCCCTGATTGGTGGGCTTGTTGTAGGGTTTTGGCCTGCGGACCCCGGGACATGGCAAGACGCCCCGGGCTTTAGACCGAAACAAGGAAAACATCTCCCATCTTAACAGAAACACTCCATGTGGCACACCAAGGTCTCAGGATACTCAAGATCGCACCTTCACCTTTAACGCTATTGCTGGCTCCTATTCGGAATTTACGGTAAATGGGGTTTTGAATTCGTCTAGTCCATGACTGCAGTACCATTTTTAAAGAAAATACTATTCCATAAGAGAGTTGTATTAAAACCCAAACCTGTGGATCACTATGTAAATTCAATTTTGGATAAGTTTTTAGAAGCATTAGGTTATTTCTTATTTAATTTCTCTGGGCTTAAGTGAACAGTTGTACTCTTGTATTTTAACAGAATTCTCATGTCATTTTGAAATGGCAATAGCTACATATCCATCCTCTGTAAAATGATAAATGAGACCATGATGTAAAAACTTCATTAAAAAGATTGGATTCATCTTTTAGTGTTCTTTTTTACTAAATAAGAGGACAAAAAAACACAATGTGTACTCCAGCTTAATGCATAGAATTTATTTAACACAAGTGACCTACAAACAGGTTGCATTAAAATAACAGTAACTCATACATCTGATTAAGATCGACGGATCATCAGGAAATGGTAGGTGTGGAAATAAATGAATAAAAGTTAGTAGTAGGTTTCAGTATTCATCAGATTTCTTTATAAATCTGAACATGAGTTGGGGTAAAAATAAATACAGCTTCATGTCACCAAAACATACATCAGTAATTTACTTACTCATTAAAGGTTTTTAAAAAAAATGTTTGTAATTGAGTCTTGTCCTTTTCTAGAGAGACCTCACGAAGGCTTCTAAATCGAATGTGAAGACGGGACTGCTCAACTCAACCGTCAGTCACCACTGAAGGTTCTAAAGAGCCGCTCTGGCACCGGGAGTCCAGTTGGCAACTTGCCGTCAAGAACAAAAGGGAACTTCACTGTAACCTTTTTTTTCCTAAGAAAAAAATGTAAATGTTTCAATTTTGTGAACATTTAGTCCCTTTTTTTTTTTTATATATAATTTACAGGGTTCCTGCTTTTCTGCTTTTAGCTGTTTATTTTCTCTTCTGTATATATTTCGGTGGCTGTTTTAATACCTGTACTGTGGTTTTTAAGCTTTTTTTTTTTTTTCTAAATTAGTTTTTAATTGAAATGTCAGTACCTGAAACTAGGACACTACTTTGTCTCGGTGCTGTTGGAGTTGGTGAATGCACCACACTTTTTTCCTTCAAGCTGGAATAACAGCTACTTTTTCTCGTCCAAAACTAAATGAATGTTTCTTTCACCCTGCCCCACTTAATTATGCTGTAAATAAACAGAAAACCATCACTCCTAACTTGAGTAGCTTTCTTTTTCTTTGCCTTCTCAGACATGAGTGTCTTTATCTGTGCTGCTTTTCTGGAGTTTACTATTGGAGGATTCAGGCAGAGGGCAGTGTTTGAGTAGAGAGTCCTGCCTAAGCCATGCGTGTCATGAGTTCCTCCAGAGCTCGCTCACGGTGATTCTCATGAACAAGCAGCACTTCTTTGATTGCACTTTGCTGGAAGCCCATCTCATTAAACTGGGTCAAAAGGCGCAGGAACTCAGCAGCCTGAAACGGAATTTGAGGGAGTTTTAAATGTACACCAATCAGGAAAAAGTATGATTATTTAGAAGCTAAATGCCTAAGATAAACTTTTTTAAAAATGGTGGAATCACCTTGCTCTCGCAGTTCTGAAACATCTCCAAAGCCTCCTCCACCTGTGCTTCATCATAACCCAGCTGGCAGAGGCGGTCGCTGGAAACCAGGTATTTCAGGATCTACCGACAGAGACAAACTAATTCAAACCCACAATACAAAACAGAATAGACCTTTTTTCTCTAGTACGTACACAGGGCCTAAATGTGCCACACATGATGAATTAGGAAGGCAGCATCTGATGTTTTATGTTCGAACCTTCTCTGGGCTCCTGTAGCCTGTCCTCTCCAGAGCCAGAATGGCCGTGCGCAGCGGGTATCCTTTGTCAGTGATGGTTCCAAGTAAGTCCCTCTCCTCCTGGCTGAGCGCTGTGAGGAGCTCCGCAGCAGAGTCGAAGAAAACCCCACGAGAGCCACTGGTCGTCAGAACCTGAAAGAGAAAGAGAGCAACCAGATCAAGGACTGTTACAGATAAGGGGGGCAGAGTTGAGTTTTTGTGCCATACTCTGAGCTGGGCTTAAGGACAGACCTTTTTCCTGCGGTTTCTGACCACGGGCCCGGCGGAGGAGGGCCGCTGCTGCTGCTGCTGGGGCCTGTGTGGGGATTGGCCCGCCGGAGGCGTGTTCTGGGAGTACTTCCTCCCCAGAGAGCCCAGCGAGCGCGGCCTCTTTTTGCTGTTCTGTCTGGCCCCTGCTGTCTGGCCCTGGAAGGCGGGCCCGGCCAGCTGGGACTTGTGCTGCTCCACGGCCCGCAGAGGCTGCCTGCAGTCCGGGAGGGAGGAGGTGGCCCGGTGGCCTCTGGGGACGTGGGCCGGGTCGGCTTTACAAGCGGGAGAAAAGGGCCTGGGGTGCGTGTCTTTGACCCTGGAGAGCGGGTCTCTGGGCGCGGCGCTCCGGGGCCGCTCCCTGCTGCTGGCCCGGTGGCGTGCACACTCAGCCGGACACCCGTCGTTGTCCCCACTGTAGCCGTCCTCCTCGTCCGAGTCGGTGACGAGGAACTTGACGGTGCGGTGGTGCAGCCGGGGGGCGTCTGCGGAGCTCAGGCTGTGGCTGCGGGGCCGGGGCCTCGGGGCCCACGGGTCACTGCTCCTGTGACCCAGCAGGCAGCCCCCCCGGGGACCGCTGAACATCATCCAGTAGGGCGGGCAGGACGGGGCCTCACAGAGCGGCTGCTGGTCAGCCAGGATCCATCTCTCCATTTGGAATCCATACTGTAGGAAAAACATCCACTTAATCTACAGCTGCGTTTTTTGTTTTTACACACAAAAAAACGAGGCTTTTTTAAAGCAGACTTTAAACAATGAATGTTAAAAAAACTCAAGATCAGGCTAAAGAAGAGAAAATGTAATGACAATTTAAGAAAGGATTGCTTTAAACTGCAGATAAAGAAACTGCTACCAAAGTAAATGAAAAAACAGTTGGATAAAACAAACAAACAAACAAGTTACCTCAGTTTCCTTCATGATCTGGCGGCAGACTGGTATGGGAATGTCTGGAGCAGCCATAAACTGTATCTCATCTCCCAGTGGACCCACAGGGGTCTGGAACGGGACATCCTCCAGAACGCTCATCACCACTTACAAGCACAGAGAAATGTCCTGCATCCGGAAAAACAGGAAAGAACAACTTTCTGGCTTTTTTGTTTCAAGCCACATTCTGTGATCCGTTGGAATAAATTCTTACCTGCACCAGGTACCGTCTTCCAGGTCCTCAGCCCTCTGTATCATCCACAGGTGACTGGAGTTAATCACTGACACAAACATCAATGCGTGGGATAAACCTCTTCATCACTAAGCCTCTGACATCAGCCAATAGTTTGTTTACCACTCGGAGAGACAGCCGCTTTAATCCAACACACAAAAGGTCCACAACAGATAGTAGAGATTTGAAACATCTGTACATGTAATTACTGAAAAAGTAACTCTCAAATACATCAAGAGTAACAATTGATTTTTATAATTGCCTATTTCCTCAAAATTTGACTGAACATAATTTCACAACCTTTGGTTTTTACCACTGACTGTGGCCATTGTTTCTGTTTAAAACTGTGTGCAAGACAACATGACTTTCCAGGGAATTTCCATGAGTAATGAAAGCGGGATTAGGGAAATGCTGAGGTATTGGGAAACAAAGAACAGCACGCCACTCTCCAGAGATTAGCTGGTTATATAAAGAGGACAGCCTATCGGTGTAGTACAGCTCTGTAAAGTCTGTCACAGGGATGAGTCCATTGACATTTATGCTCCTCTGAGTGCAGCTCAGGTCAACAAAAACCATATAAAAAAACAAAACCAATAAACACGACGTTTTTGTACAGCGATATACATTTTATTTATATATTTTTAAACAATCACAATAAAATTAAGATTCACAAGCTGAGGGGTGATGACAGCTTCTGTAACAGATGTCTGGAGAAAAAAAAGCAGTTTTAGTTTAGTAGGGAAAGTAAAGCTTAGAGAGAGAACAAATCTAGTTTCATTTTAGAGTATGAACAGCAGCATGGTGGAGGCGGAGAGCATTTGGGTGGTGTTTTTATTCCACACTTGTACTGAGGTACTATTTAGTAACAGGATATTACATCACTAAAGGTGATTTTCTGACACTGCAGCACACACACAATGAAAGTCAAAATACCTCCTGTTTTCACAGTGTTGACAAGAGGGAAATGATCTGATCTTTTTAATCTGGATAAAGAAAACTGTATACACCTGGTGGGGGGAGTACGATTCAATTATAGCTAGTAGGAAATAAAAAGAAAGAGCTTATCTGGTCGTCACTTGAAAGCTACTAGCTAAACTGTTACTCCTGCTTTGAGAAGCGGCCCTGCAACACAGAAGTCTGTGAGTTAACACATTCAGAAGGTGGGCTAACGGAAAGGAGCTGAACACTGTAAAATAACCATTCCGGCTGTTTAAAAAGTAAATTGTTGCCTATAAGCTGCTGTGTCTGGTGTGCTGGTGTGTTGATGTCACAATATGTTCTCCTAATTTGAGTGCTTGATTTACAAACTGCTTACAAATGCTACCTATGTGGTGTAGCTAAACATTTACAACCGATTTCACTTTGAGCACCATTATTACAATGGTGGTTACGAAGGAAACATCAAAAGATTGATGTGCTCATGGAATATCATGCCCTCATGTTGTAAGGCATTGCTTGACATGGTAACATTACATCTACACCTTCTGAGCGCCTCTTTTTCAAGTGTACAGTATGATCCCATAGTTTCTATTTGCTTCCCTTGCCATTACAGCCTGTCACCACGAAAAGAGAAAACAAACTAGCTACAAATACTTTCATGAATAAAATTGCATTATCTTTATATAGATAAAATGTTAACAATCCCCAGAGATTGAAGTATTTGATACAGGTCCACTCTAAGTGCACCACTAAAGGATTATCATCTGATGCAAAGGACCGAAGGTTGTTACTCTCTCTTAATTTGTTCATCATGAAAATCTCTTCACCAAATGTCCATCGTTTATTTGTCAGGTGCTATAATAAAAGAGCGGGTACCAAACTTGGTATTCAAAGGGCTCGTGGTAATCTAATGTTTCAGACAGCGGGGCTTTCGGGTGAATTCAGCGCCGTGTGGTTCAGTTGTTAGCAGCATCTGCCTGCCGAGGCCAGTTCTCCTCCTCAATGCCCGAGTCGTACTCCTCTTCCGCCGACTCCTTGGCTGGAGCTCTGCAGTTTAAATGGAAATGTCAAACACCGCAACCCGACAGATGAAAGAGAGCCTATCTTATCGCTCAGATGTGTGACACTGTGAACGTGGGCAGACGCTGACCTGACGTATCTGGGTTGGGATTTTCCCTGGACGACTTCTTTGTCTAGCTCAACAGCCATAATGTCCGAGTGCGGAACCTCAAACATGGGCTCCAGGAGGAGTTTTTCCTGTGTGGAAAGCAGATGTTCAAAATCAAGAAAAAACATTCATACAAGGAAAAAAATCTTTAAAAAGATCTAGCAGAAAACCTACCATGATGGATCTGAGCCCACGGGCTCCAGTCTTTCTCTCCAAAGCCATTCTGGCAATGGCTCTCAAGGCATCTTGTGTCACGTGGAGTTCACACTGAAGGCAAAAGGAAACTTAAGATTAAATCTAAATGACAGGTCTGAACACATCTAAGAGTAAACAGATATGCCCGAGTTATTCTGCAGAACTAATAGATAAACGGTAAAACAAACAAACACAAAATGCAGTGATTCTGTACTTTTCTGTTAGATGTTGCCGACCTTTAAAACCGGACCAAACCGGGTGAGAGAGCCCTTACTTTGTCCATGCTGAACAGAGCCTGGTACTGTGGCACCACGGCGTTCCGTGGTTCGGTCAAGATCCGGACGAGCGTTTCCTCATCCAGGCTGTGCAGGGGCACCACGACGGGGAGGCGGCCCACGAACTCTGGGATCATTCCGAACTCAATCAGGTCCCTGGCCTCGACGTGCCTCAGCAGCCTGTCCTTCTCCTCGATCTCCGCCACCGTGTCCGTCTCCCCGCTGCTGTTGGCCAGGTCGGCCGCCGCCGCCGCACGCCGTCCTTTGCCCATGTTAGACGGCGTTCCAAAACCCAGATACTGATGGAATAGGATCCGGTTAGCAGCAGAAACAAAGCCCTGTCAATCTGAAAGCGTCTTCAAATGACCTTTTCGTTCTTTCTCCTGCTGATGATCCTATCGAGACCATTGAAAGCACCAGATGCAACAAACAGAATGTTTGTTGTGTCGACTTGCACCGTTTCACCTCGGAGTTTTCTGGAGTTCTTCTCAGGAACGTTGACGATCGTGCCCTCCAAAAGTTTCAGCAGACCCTGACGGAGGGAGCGCCAGGGACAAATTCAACATGGGACGAGAAAAAAAACCCCACAGCTGCAGCACTGTTCTGATAAGAGAATGAAATGCCACTTCTTTCTTTTTCTTTTGGCAATGTATACATTTTCACCAACACATTGGGTTGTTGTTGTTACAGATCAACGCTCAGTTAACTCTAGCACATGCCTAAGATTCTTTCTGGGATTATCAGATGACTATGGACACATACAAAAAAAGATTATATCAAACATTTGCTGATGATCAAATTCATATCGAAACAGAAAAAAAGAAGACAGCAATAACAAATTCTTCAAAATGAAATCTAGGAAAAATGTATTACATTTTTAAATAACCCTCATTACAGTAATGAAAAAAACAAGCTTCCTTATTGGTTTAATGTGGCTGAGGACTGACCTGCTGAACTCCTTCTCCTCCCACATCTCTCAGCTGGTGGATTCCAGGCACACTGCCAATCTTATCAACCTCATCCAGGAACACAATACCTGTGCGTGGCACAGAGCAATGTTGGCGTTAGTTTAACATCCTGGAGAGACCTGCTGCTGCAGTCCTCTTGGATAAACATACTGTGCTTTTGTTGAACACCAGTGTTTAGGCTGAAAACTTTGAGAGCAAATTCTTTTTTTTTTTTTTTTTTTAAAGCCCTTTCTGTTTGTTGTCATGATTTGTGTGTCTGTCCACAACTCGTTTCTAATGTCTTCTTGTCTCAGTTGGTTATTGCTGTGTGTTAAATAAGTGACAGAATTCTTATGTAAAAGATATAAATAGTACGGAACAAACAGTTTTTAGAGCAGCCTTGTGGTGACTGGTAATGTCAGATGTGACCCCGGGAAACAGCGCAGCTGTTAAACAAACTCTGCCCACCTTGCTGTGCCTTCTCCACAGAGTAGTTGGCATCCTGCAGAAGTTTGGCAATAACTGACTCGATGTCTTCTCCCACGTATCCAGCTTGAGTTAGAGTGGTGCAATCGCAAATTGCGAACGGGACGTCCAGACAGCGAGCCAGTGTCTGCGCCAGAAGTGTTTTCCCTGTGAAAGCGTACACAAATCTACATGAGAGCACCTTTGGTGAGACACATCTGCAAAACAGGCTGCCACTCCCAGTGGGCCACAACACCATTTAGGAAAAGAGTTGGCAAAGCACCAACCTGAACCAGTTGGGCCTAGAAGTATAATGTTGCTCTTCTCCAGTTTAATCTCAGTGTGTGTGGAGTCCAGGACCTCTCCGCCCCTCTTCTCCTGAGTGGTCTGCTGGCTGGCCTGCTGCTGCATGGATGCTCCCAGAGCATTTCCATGGGGGCTGATGCCTGCAATCTGCAGCAGCTCTGAAACAACACACCACACAGGTTAGCTTTGTGAAGGAAAAAAGTAAGACCATCATCTGTCAAAGCAGGAAATCACGGTTGGTAAAGAGGTAATTTATTAATGGTGCATGTGGCACTTTGTGCTTAGTAACAGATTCCTGTTACAGGCTATAAATACATACAGCAAAAACAGTGCCAGCGGAGTTTGCAAGAGAGGACAGCTTTACTGAAAATAGCAAGCTTCTGAATGTAGGTCATCAGGCCGCCTCGTTTGATTCTTTTTGTTTGCTCAGCTTGACCCACAACTTAAAGGTCTTGTGGATTGACACACAGACCATGTCGCTTAGAGTAATGTTAACAGAAAATTTAACTGGCTGTGGCAGATCAAATTGAAAAGTGGCCGGTTTGGGCGTCTGATCAGTGAGTGTGGACGGACTCCTTTAGACTGCTGTCTGTCAAAGATCAACATGAATGATCTTATCACTTGAGTTCATCACATAATTCGTACCAACAATAAAATCAGATCAGAAATGGTTAGTAGTCACTGATGCAAACCTAAAATGTATCCTACCATCTTCTGATATCTTGGAGGATGTCTTTGACTTATTCATTTGTGTTTTCATTCTTTAGTGAGGGCGTGAGTATTCGGATGTCATCAGAACTATTAATAGTTTGCCTCGGTGGTCTGTACATTTTGGCATTTGTGCAACTCTCAAAAAACAAACCCCAGAAAACTGCTGATTAAGTGGTGAGACCTAAAGTCTGCTGATAACAGAATAGAGGTCAGTCAGATAACAGTAAGGAGGTCAGTCACTTACTTGTGAATCTGTATTCATCCTCTCGTCTTCTCATCTCTAGCTCTACAAGGAGAGGATCAAAGTACTCGTATGAATATTATCATCTAGCATTACCACTACAACATTATCAGTATAGTCCCTGTAAGAAGGTTGCAGTAATTTCCTTTAAGAATGATTGAACAAATGCCAAATAATACAGATTGGGACTGACAAGCTACAGCTATGAATGTGAATAAAAAGGAGACCCATGATCATTTAATATCGTTAATTTAATATCGTGGGTCTTTAAGACCCACACTTGGGGGTCTTAAAGATACAGAGCCCTTATTTTGACTGAATAAGTGCGACAGACATCAATGATTCCAAATCTATGGACTGCTTAATGTGGACAACTCACTCCTCTTGAGTACCCACGTTTTTACTGGAACCTCATATCTATCAATGTAAAATAAAAAACTATCTCAAAACAAATAAATGTGCTAATGAAAAAATCCTGAAATAAATAAATAAAGTAATTAATTACACTTGATTCAATTAGGTGACTACCAATACTATCTACTTAGGTTCTGGATTCACTTCTGGGCTATATGCATTTGTTTTAGCGTGGATTCGTTTAAGGCAGATTCAAACTAAAATCTCCTCCACTACATCTGAGGGACATTTTAGTGTGTTATCATTCAGAGTCCTCACAGCTGTTCAGTCACACAACAGTCATTTTGGCCCCTCAAAAAGATGCGCTGTAATGGGAGATGTTAATGTCGGGGGTGTTTGTGTTCAGGCCACCATGGTCACATCAGGTCTTGAAAATGATGTTTAAAGTCCCTGTTATCTAAAGACTGACCTCGAGGGGTTAAAGACGGCTGTTTCTCCACCTCCACCTGCTGTCGACTCCCTGCAGGGATGTTGTTGTAGATGCGTTTGTAGTGATTGTACACTGCAACCGCCAACACCTTCTTTGCATAGGACTGACCGACGACATACTTGTCCAGATAGGCATAAATCTAAGTGAGAAAAAAATGGTTAAAAAGCTATTTTCAAATTAACCGGAAACTTTTCAACGAACATCGTCACAATTCAGCTTTGATCCGTCACCTTCTTGGGAGGAGGGGGAGGTTTCTGTGCAAACGCCAGCTTCACTGCCTCAGCAGCAGATTCTGGCTCTTTGTTTAGCCCTTTCTTGGAGTCAGTTTCGGACAAAACGACAAAGAAGTGATGACATTTCTCACATTTCACAAATCGCGTTGATGCTAAAAAAGAAGAAGACACAAAACAAACAGAACAAGGTTTACAGCCATGTTTACTACAGTATCTTAAAGGTTGCAGACTAAAAAAGGTGACTTTCAAAGAAGAAAAAAAGAACTTTCTAATCATATTTTTCTATTTAAAAAAAGGATTGAATTGAATCAGAAAAAAATGGGTTTGCTATGCATGAACTTAACACAACATAAAATGATCAGACAAATCTTGAAACATGACAATTAAAACTGGATGGTAAAATGTGATGAGCAGCCAAAGGAGCAGCTTGGTGCCTCGTCCAACCGTTAGTATTTCTGACTGACTGACTGACTGACTGACCAGTAACCAAAGAGAAAACAAAGTGGGAACGCTTTTTATGGAGCGGCAGAAAACAGAAAACAGTCAGTACTCAGTTTTTGCTTTTACAGTTTGTGCCTGGAAACCGTTTGTGTTGCACCATTTAATTACTGTGTTTGCATTTTTGTTTATTCTGGTCGCCTGCAAAACTTCTACCACAGGTGAGAGTGAACGTTGGCGCAATGCTGCAACAACAAAACAAACTGTTCCTCACAGACTGGTGAATTTCTTAAACTGCTGTGGCCATAAACAGCATTCTCTTAGATTTATTGTAACTACTCTTTTTTTTCTAATTTTCATCAGTGCCGAATGGCATCAAACAACTTAGCAATAAATTATCTAATAAATATCCTGAGCATATTTCAGATAAAAACAGTGCTATTTTATCCTTTCTGATTTTATTTATTGAAATTGTCCTATTTTATGACGAACATCTATCCATCATCTGTGACAAACCTGTTCCAACAATTACCTGGAATTCAAAGGACTTTCAACTGGGCCACATTGGTTCTTGATGGTTGAATTAAGGGGAAGAGTACAAAACGCAGATACCAGCTGTTGAAGATCAAAACATTTACTCACATACAAAGGTCTCTACATGTGTACAGGGGTCTCCACATTTAGGGCAGCGTAGTTGGCTTCCCCCCTTCCCTGATCCTCCAGAGCCAGACGTTCTCTTCCCTTCACTGACGCTTTTCTGTGTTAATGAGGCAGAGTTATGATGTGTGAATTTCCTTTGCTTCCATTTACAAGATGGTATCGAGTCCAAAAGTGGGCAGTACATTCAAATTATATTCACCTTTCCGCCATCACTTCCACCATCCTTTGTTGTCCCATCTTTAGCGGCGTAACAAACAGCAGTCTCTGAAAACGACCTGACGCGTACCCGGGGATGAAAATGAGTTTCCCGAGAACCATGACGACTCAGAGAAAACAACTGGATCCTGGAACATGACAGTCCTGTAACACCAGGAACATGGGATTTGATTTAACAACATGATTTTTTAACAAATTTGTCAGATTAATAACAATTAACTAGTCATTTTATTTAATTGTCCCATACAACAAATATACTGAATGTTCATATAAGAAAAAAAAACAATTGGTAATTGTCCACAAAATTCCCAACAACTGTTTCTAAGTGTCATGGAACAACAGCAAGAATGTGTAATTAATTAATTAATTAATCAATAGTTTTGAAAAAATAAAATCAGGCTTTTGCAAAACATGACAAATAGTGTATAGCTTCTAGTATGTGTTAATCGTTTTATTAGAGAATAATATATCCGACTAATGTTTAATCAAAATCAGATGTTTAAAATGTCACATTGTAGTGAGAAAACAAATCAATGTATTAATCTGAAAACAAAAATATAGAATTGTTTATTGTCTAAAATAATATAATAATCACTGAAGTGAGAGAATGTAGTTGAAGTCAAAAGTTTCTATGAATAATACGTTTCCCTTAGGATACAAAGCTTGCTTCTTTTTTTTTAATAGACAGTTGTTGTATTGTGTGATATAACATCCATGGTCTATCTATGGCTGCACAACTGCTATAGGGACTTTTCCATCTGCTGCTGACACTAACTACACAAGTGTCATAACAAACCGAAATGTGCGCTAGCTGGCACGACTAGCACAATGTCATGTAGCTTTAGAAGACAAAATGTTCTCTTCCCCCCATCCCCTTTCTTTTTTTTTCCATTACCTCTGTTGGCGGTGTTTAGGAACAACCTGACAGCCGAAGTGCATGGGCAGGACATCTCTTTTTCTTTCTAAAAACACTGAAAATACATGTTAACTTGACAAGGTGCAAATAGGCAAACGGGTGGCTAAATTAGCTATAGGCTAACGGATAGCAGCTGCTAGCAGCGGAGCAGTAGAGGCCGGTGTAGGGCCAAATTATGTGACCCGTCAGATTCTGTGACCCAAATAGGCACTTGAGTTGAACTGCTTTTACATAACTGTTTTATAAAGTGAAATTTAAAACTTTATTCCGTGACAAATGTATAACTACACTTGCTCTTAAATTTAAAAGGCCTATTCTTTAAAAACAAACATCTGTCAGTATAGTAAGCCACTTATCAATTTTTGGTTACCCGTGTTTTTCTGTAAAAGTTTAGTTAATCGAAATTCCTCTGGCCAATAAATGTCATTTCACATGTCAAGATTAAAGTAAGACCATGTCTGGAAAGTTATCTGAATATACATATATGTATATTCTTATATAAATATATGGAGAGTTACAACATCTGTAGAAGTTGGAATATATTCCAGTTAGGTCACTAAATCGATACAACTACAATCCTGAAACATTTCACAGCTTCAACGTCAGATTTAGTCAAGCACCACAGTCAGGTCTAAACTCAGTACGAACAAAAATAATTTTTTGTTTAGACCATAATATACGTGTAGGGTACTTTCACCACATTACGTCGAAGCCTGCTAACGCTAGTGTTAAAAAACACATTTCTGTAAACAAGGTAGCCCGATAGCATGCTTGGTTGGATAACTGTTAGCTACTTAAGCTAGGCCCCGGCCACAGAAAGACAGGGGGAATGATCAACGACCGCTGCCGGGCAGACAGCTAATGTCGAATAAGCAGCGAAGCAGGGTGACTTTACGCTGGTAGAATCTGAAACATAACTGTAAGCTACATTGTTGATTTATGAAAAATGTAACATTAAATTAGCTTTCTAGCTGTACTCACAGTGTACGACGGAACGGTCGCCTCTTGACAGCACCCAGAAATTTGCAAAGGTGCAAAGTGACAAAAGCTGTAATAACCTTGCTTAAGTTTGACAGGTTAGTGTGTCATGCTAGGATCACAGTACGGTGTGTGGAAAAAAAGACAGGGTTGGTTCCTTCGGGCCGTTATTTCCCAGGTGGGAGACAACCCAAAGTGATGTAACGCCTGCTGTGATGAACTAGGTTAGATCTGGCAAGCTAACTGGCCTCCCCTCTAGGAACGGTAGCTAGCAAAGGTCTGTAACTATGCTGACGGACTAGGTAACACGGAGGCTCATGTCATGTCTATGGAGCTCTGCCCATCCGGATACTTTTAGATCTTCGAAAATCCGGGACAACAACTGTGGCGTTCATGAACATCTTGTAATATGGCCATTAGATGTGGTATTGTGAAATTATGTTGCGTTTAATACTGACTCGGAAAAAAGACATGCGCTGAAGTTATGCAAGATGTTCGGTAACAGTAAATTCACGGGCATTTTATAAGTACGTGTTTATCTAAAGAATGTAATATTCATATGGACTTCATATTCTTTTAAGCAGAGGCAGCTTTGGAACGTGTTTCAGATTTTATAGTAAGTAACAACAACCCACAGACATATAATTAAGTCGACATTACAAGTTTGGTCTCAGTCTGAGTGAAAGGACTGGATGTTTGTGTAGTAGACAATACTTTAGCTCTGCAGTCTGGAACTGAATTTTTTTTTTAACTCAAAATAATAATTTGAAACAGAATAATATTTAAAATGAAGAAAAAAAATAAATCCAATAAAAAGTCCCAAAGTGAAAAATAACTAACAAAGAACAAAAATAAAAGATGAAGAAAAAATCAAATTTAAAATATATCGACCTGAAAGGAAACTGAACAGACACTAAACAGCAGAGCTATCAAAACCTTTTATTAGGAACTTTTTCATAAGTTTAATTAGTTCTTTTCTCTGTCTGTTTGAATTTAACTCGGCAAGTGTTAACACTCCTGTTGTCCCACATGTACAAAAGCCTTTTTTTGGGATTGTATGACAGCATAGCCAACACACCATTTCCTGGCCTTAAATCCAAACTTGCATCAACAGGGCTCTCTGTCTTTAAATTAAAAGCATGTGTCACTCG